TGACGGCAAATAAGAGAAGTTATCCGTGTTCTAACTGCATTATTCTGTTTTATGTGGGGTCTTTTCAGAGTGATTGCAAAGAAAAGGACAAAGACAAGGACAAGAGCAAAGACAAAGATAAAGATAAAGACAAGTGCAAAGACAAGGACAAGAGCAAAGATAAGTGCAAAGACAAGGACAAGAAGAAGGATAAAGAACACAAAAAGGGTCACGGACACAGTCATGAACACGGTCACGGACACGGCCACGGTCACGGACACGGACACGGTCGAGGACGCAAGTCTTCTTCTTCATCCAGTGATGAGGTAACGTGTGCTTCTGCATTGCTATGATTCTCCATTCTGCTGAACATGAGCCTCGTTTGATGCTGCTCAATATACGGCTCACACACACCTGTTGATTCTATATAGATGCAAACAAGATGCTACCCTTAGTTTCCACGCTGTATTTTCATACATCATACTTCATTCATCATATTTCAATGCTCCTCACATAAAACGGTGTAAACGTGTGAAAACACCTGGTAGAGTGAGTGACGTGGACGCGCCCCAGTAATGCAGACAAACCGGTTTCGTGTTGAAAAGAGTGGAACATAAAAGATTTACCAGGAGCCAAATGCATCTAAAATCCGTTCTGTAGATTCACACGCTAGTATTATAATGATAACAACAAGCTAATATTGTTCTCTCTCTGTTTGTAGGACTGAAGCTGAAGACTGAGGACATACCGGGGCTAGTTGTCACATGGGAAAACATCCCGTCAAAAACCTTGTTGCACAAATGCTTGTTTTCTCTCAGGATTTTAAACATCTAGTTGTGGCATTTGTCTTTATTAGTACAATATTTTGCTATATTTTTATATATTGCTGCAAGCTGTTACATCTTTTCTATGATGCACTTATCTATAAAAATGTTGCTTTTTACAATATATTATATTGTTGAAAATGGATTGATTATAAGTTTGTAGGTAGTATGTCATATAACAAATGTTTGTTTTCTCATATCAGTGTCGATACATATTGTGACGTATTCTATATAATGACAACATGCCCTGCTAAAGATTACAGTGTATTTTCTTTGTAGTTGTAAAGAAGGTTTTTGACAATAAAAGTGATTTTTCAAAACAAACTCACCATGAGAAATATTCCACCTGGACTTCTTTATCTTGTAAAATTTCATATTATTTCATATTCATAAAACACTTATAAATAGTGCTGGGCAACGATTAATCACATCTAAAATAAAAGTTTGTGTTTACAAAATATATGTGTGTGTAATTATTTTGTATAAATACACACACATGAATGTATATATTAAAGAAATATTTGCATGTATATACTGTAATGTTATATATAAATATTTTATATATAAATAACACATTTTTCTTAAATATGTACATGCATGTGAGTGTATTTATCTATACAAAATAATTATACACAGTACACATATATATGTAAAACTCGCGATTAATCGTTTCACAGCACTACTCATAAATCGTTTGATAATCTAGGGGGAAATTTTGGAATTTTGGAACTTGGAAATTTCTAACCCTGGAGAATAAAAAAATATTGCATTTAAATTCTCAGTTTACAGACAGATGCGTTATGCTAAACCCACATAAGACACCTAAAACGACACATGATGCATTTTAATATCAAATGATTTCTGCTCATGTCAGAATATGATTATCATTTCGGGAACACACTCCTGACTGCATTGCCTGAACGTATCAAAGGATTCTTTAATCCGCCAACTAAAGTCTGCATCAACGCACAGGTTTCGCTATGAGAAGTTTTAGAGTTATTTTCCATTTGTTAGCATGAACTGACAGACGACAGAGAGTCGTGATGACCCGAGGCTTCAGGGCTGGGCTGGTAAAACAGGAGGATCCACTCGTACGGTTTAAAGCGTAAAGATGCACTATCTAGGGTGGGTACTTTACTCTTCAGGGTCTCTTTAGACTCTTGCTGAGATTTATTCCCGGCCCACACAACATTCCAACAGTCTCTCATCGCACAGATAACACACATTTAGAGACACACCCGCATTAGAGTTTCCAGAATAACCGCACTATATTCAGACAGACAGATCTGTGAGTAAACATGCTGAACAATACGCATGACAGTTGAGTTTTATTCTACAATGGTCCCAGAATGCATTGTCACTATTGTTGAGATTCATACGCTAATTACTGATGTCATATTTTACACAGTTCTAGAGTAAAACATGTTTTGGAAAATATATATTTCATAATTTTAAATAGTTTTAAATAGTATTTCTGTGCATTTTTCATTATATAAAATTTAACTTCTATAACATTTTTCACATCAGCAATAATCCACCAAGTGTCGTCTTTAAAAAGAGAGTCTGTTGCTCCCAAGATTCAAGATTATGACACAAAAAGTGATTAATGGGTAATAAATGGATTATGACTATTTCATAAATATAAAAAAACACATTATCAAACTAAAATATAGCATTAAATTGAAATAAAAAAAGAAGGTAATTTTGTCCTCAAAACGAGCTGCACCAGACGGTTAAACATATTCAATGACTAACACACTTTTGATCAGTGATAAACCTTGGGATGAGATCTATGAATCATGATGATGTCACCATCAATTAAAATAACCATCGGATCATCTCCAGAATCTTCCTTACAGACACACAGTTTCAGCAGCCACATAAAACTAACGTTAAAAAGTCGAGCACAACTAAAGCAAACACCGATCATCATAATGGTGACTTAAAGTGAAATGCTCTATCTTTGTCTCAACAATCTCGTAGATGTCTTGGTATTAACGACTTAAACAACTTAAAACATGCATGAGAAATTTATTTTAATCAGTTTCCACACACTAAAAAAATCCTGCCCTTTTTTAAATAAAATATTGGAGGGAACTATTTGCATGAGAATTGTGAGTATTTTAAATTCAACTAATTTGTGTTTAAACTTTACATGTTTTTTTAACACGCACCCTTTAGTAATACCAACACAACTTTCCTTGTAAACGCAACTCAAATACTTTGTGTAGAAGAAACACAACTCAACCGAATGTATTTTTCAGCATACATTAAACAATTTACTATATTGATCGAAAATATATATTTTCTTTGCGTAAGGATACACTAACTAAGCCTGCCCCAAAAAACAACACTTTCACTGAATGAAAAACAAGATATAAGATAAAATGAAATGTCCAGTCACTCTCAGATTTCATTTTCTCAGATTGTTTTATTCACTTTTGGTGTCTGCAGCCGTTGGCCTGAAACACACAATACATAATACACAAGTGTAGAGTATGTTTCTGCACTTACACACACTAATGCTGAACCAGATGGGGAAAGGTGTGGACGTGCATCCATTCATAACATAACATGTAATTAAAAAGTTGCTCGGTTGGTTGGTGTTTGAACCTTGGATATTTTCATGGTGAGTAGCAAGTTAAAATATTATAAAAGAGTCATTTAAAAACCTTTGTAAAGTTTTAAAGGGGTCATGACATGGATTTATAAACATTTTTATATGCTCCTTGAGGTTCACTTATGAGAATGAAGTTTTTTGCACAAAAAAACCCCAAATATATAATATGTGGAGAAACAATTATTTTCAACCCTAATTCTGAGCCTTTGTCTGAAATGACCGTTTTTAAGGTGTAGCTCCTTTAAGGCTTGTCAGTAAACGGACACTTATTTTTGGCAAACATCATTGCACAGGAAACTCGCCATTGAAAACATTATCCATATAAAACCATAATTTACAGACAAAGCATTATGAAATCATTTACTGATGGTTTGTGGATCAGCTGCTGTCAGACTCAATACAGTCGCTGCTTCATCTGTCAATGACAGAAGCTTCTTTGTGAACTCTCCATTACACTGTGCCTCTGGCACATGCTCAGAACAAACATATAATGTCTGACTCGATCTGGGACGCCTTTAAAATAAAACATCTGTATACTGTATCAGTATAGACAGCGTCAGTCATTATAATCTGAACACACATCTGTATACTGTATCAGTGTAGACAGCGTCAGTCATTATAATGGGTTTAATTCGCTTCTGACGCGACTCTCACATCCAGTGTAAATGTCAAATGTCAGTTGTTAAGAGACTGAAGGCCAGTGGGCGGGGCCTATGATGGCAGTGGGCGGGGCCTATGGTGTGATGATGTATAACTATTGGTCGATCTCTTGCTCTGGAGGAGGTCATATGCAAATGTATTTGTCCGTGTGACATCACAGATCCCGCAACATCAAAACGAACCGTTTTTGGAACTTGATTAAATAAATGCTTTGCTTATAACGAGGACGACGTTTTAAGCTCTGAAACTTGAAGGATGTTTTAATGGTACAAAGACCTCTCATATGTCAAAGATCAAGGCAAATTTGATTTCTCATGTCATGGCCTCTTTAAAAGTTTGCTTTAGATAAAAAACTCTCAAATGGATTCAGGGTTGATTCTGTGAAAAATGTGGTAATTAAAAAACAAACAATTATACATTCAATATAAACACATTTAGCACCAATAAACCTCTTCAGAAAAACTCAATATTTTGCTGTTGATGTCTGAATTACAGGAAGAAAGGACGTCATGATGATAGTGAAAACACACAAGCTGCATATTAGTGAAAACATGCTCATCGGGTAAGACGTGTGTGTAGACAACAGAATTGAAATTTTCAATAAAAAGTGCAATTTTCCCCCAATATTGCTGTTATTATTGGACGAAAGTGGTTTGGCTTCAAATGACGATCAAAATCTCTAACAAACATTTCAAACCAAACTGGTCTTTATACAGAGAGGGCCATTCAATGCAAATAATATTCAAAGAAACGACAGAACATCGTGTCTAAACATTTCTGCAACTAAAAATAAAAACAGTATTTACTTGGGTTTTCAGCACTGAGGACGTCTCTGGGAATGTAATCAGTGCAGGAAACGAGGGCAGAAGGATGAAAACGTCTGTGCGCTCGTCCTCTCGTTCCGCTGTGTTCTGGTGTTCTGGTGTTCTAGCTGGCCTGATGGTCCAGTAGTTTGTGGAGCTCAGCGGTTTCGATCCGGGCTCCTCTGGCGCCTCGGTCTCTGAAACTGGCCAGAATGGGTCGTAACCTCACTCCGTCCGCTGGAAGAAAGCCCTCGATGGCTTTACGCAGCTACAACACAGGAGAAGAGCTGTTAATGACTTCAGTTCTTCATGTTCAGAGCAAAGCCTCTCCTGGCGTCTCATCAGATCAGATTAATATGGAAATCAAAGCAAGCGTTTTGTGTTTGTTTAAAAAAAAAAAATTCAATCAGGAGTTTATTTGGCAAACAATACATTTTTCTACAGTAAACAACTGAAAAATACATTTGTTTTCTTTGAATTCTCTTTTATTCTCCTATTAAGTTATACAAAAAAATTTGGTTCTTTGAAAGTTCAAAACATTCCGTTTTTTAAATGTTTTAAAAACGTTTTTTGTTATGTCAACATTAAGGAAACATTCCATTTCATTGTTCAAACTTATGGGAACGTTACTTTAGAATGTTCTCTGAATGTTACTTTTGAATGTTCTCTGAACGTTACTTTAGAATGTTCTCTGAACGTTACTTTAGAATGTTTTCTGAACGTTACTTTAGAATATTCTCTGAATGTTACTTTAGAATGTTCTCTGAATGTTACTTTAGAATGTTCTCTGAATGTTACTTTAGAATGTTCTCTGAATGTTACTTTAGAATGTTCTCTGAATGTTACTTTAGAATGTTCTCTGAATGTTACTTTAGAATGTTCTCTGAATGTTACTTTTGAATGTTCTCTGAATGTTACTTTTGAATGTTCTCTGAATGTTACGTTTGAATGTTCTCTGAATGTTACGTTTGAATGTTCTCTGAATGTTACGTTTGAATGTTCTCTGAATGTTACTTTTGAATGTTCTCTGAATGTTACTTTTGAATGTTCTCTGAATGTTACTTTAGAATGTTCTCTGAACGTTACTTTAGAATGTTCTCTGAACGTTACTTTAGAATGTTCTCTGAACGTTCCTTTTGAATGTTCTCTGAATGTTACTTTAGAATGTTCTCTGAATGTTACTTTTGAATGTTCTCTGATTGTTACTTTTGAATGTTCTCTGAACGTTAAATTTGAATGTTCTCTGAATGTTACTTTTGAATGTTCTCTGAATGTTACTTTAGAATGTTCTCTGAATGTTACTTTAGAATGTTCTCTGAATGTTACTTTTGAATGTTCTCTGAACGTTACTTTAGAATGTTCTCTGAACGTTACTTTAGAATGTTCTCTGAATGTTACTTTAGAATGTTCTCTGAATGTTACTTTAGAATGTTCTCTGAATGTTACTTTTGAATGTTCTCTGAACGTTACTTTAGAATGTTCTCTGAATGTTACTTTAGAATGTTCTCTGAACGTTACTTTAGAATGTTCTCTGAACGTTACTTTAGAATGTTCTCTGAACGTTACTTTAGAATGTTCTCTGAATGTTACTTTAGAATGTTCTCTGAACGTTACTTTAGAATGTTCTCTGAACGTTACTTTAGAATGTTCTCTGAACGTTACTTTAGAATGTTCTCTGAATGTTACTTTTGAATGTTCTCTGAGCGCTACTTTTGAATGTTCTCTGAACGTTACCTTTGAATGTTCTCTGAACGTTACTTTTGAATGTTCTCTGAACGTTACTTTAGAATGTTCTCTGAACGTTACTTTAGAATGTTCTCTGAATGTTACTTTAGAATGTTCTCTGAACGTTACTTTAGAATGTTCTCTGAATGTTACTTTAGAATCTTCTCTGAATGTTACTAATGTAAACCAATGAAGAACCTCAGTGTAGATGATGTTCAGTGTTTTTTTCTCATTGTTGTGCGTCTGCTGAACTCTCACCTCTTTCAGTGAAACAACACCAATCAGTCGTCCGATACCGGTGACGTAAGCGTAATCCAGATTCAACACAGAAAACATAGTGTGAGTCTGTCAGAGAGAGAATGAGATGCTAAATGGGAATGTCAGAGCAAATCACCTTTTTTTCCAATTTTTGATGTTTAAAGTGACACATACTGTAACATTAACAATGCATTTCCTGAAAGTAAACTCCAAAAACAATTCCGACATCACTGTTTTCTCCCCAAACTAAAGCTAAATAAACAGCACACACACAGTCTGACCTTGTGCAGTGAAGTGCCTTCCACCAGCTGGAAGGGGGCGGGGTCAATCCTGCAGTTGTTGAAGTTCACCTGCTCGTCAAGCTGTGGCTCCTCCCACTCCTCAATCTGCATTCAGAGCCAGAGATACGGTATGTGAATGTGTGTGTGTGTGTGTGTGTGTGTGCGCGTGTGTTCAGATGTCCTCACCTCCTGAAGTATCGTATCATCTTCTGCGTCTGGGTAGTCCTAAAGAGAGAATGATACACACACACACACATATGTTGTGTTTCATGTTTTATGTGGACTGTCCATAGAAATAATGATTTTATACGGTATAAACTGTATATTCTCTCCCCTTACACTAACCGTACCCCTAAACCTACCCATCACACAAAACTTTCTGCAATTTTAGATTTTCAAAAAAGATCATTTAATATGATTTATAAGTTTGTTTCATCATGGGGACAAAAAAATGTCCAAATGTCCAAATATTTCCAGCTTTGTGGGGACACATTTTGTCCCCATAATGTAGGGTTTACCAACACCACACACACACACTCATTATTATCATTATCAAAGACATATCGTGACTTGATTGAAATGTACAGCCCTACTTTTAATTTATTCATCCAAATTCCGTGACATTCCATCTTTTCTTCTAAAACTACATTTTGTTTTCCAGATCACAGAAATCCCGGCCCATCATATGCTACACATGTACACAATGGCAGAAAACGCATTCCAAGCACACCATTCCATTTTTCTTGCATTATTGCTGACTTAAGGCGCACACTTACAAAGTTCACTATAATCACTTGCTCAAAAACACGGAGTAAATGTCTAGAGCAGCATTAGTGTGTGAGTTGGAGATTCACCTGCAATGCATCAATGTCAGGCCGAGAACAGCACAGCTTCTTCAAACTGATGGCAGAATCATACGGATCTGAGAGAGAAAACAAGAGAAGTGTCTGAATACGTTGTTCGTACGTCCGCTACGTGTATGTCATGATCAGGGGCGGATTGGCCATCGGGAATACCGGGAACAATCCCGAACGGCCGGTCCATTTCAGGCCGAAGACCGGCCGGTGGTCAAAGAGCATTTTTTTTTTTTTTTTTTTTTTTTTTTTTTTATGATACGCGACCGGCCTAACCGGCCGCTCAGATGCAGCAGAACGCTGTGTGTGTGTGTGTGATTCAGACTGGGCCAAACCAATACTTTCAATCTGAGGGGGGATAAGAGCGGCCTCTCCCAACTTGGACTGATCCTCGTTTTTCCTGACATCCGATTGGCTCAAACTAGGCACCGATCAAAAGAGTTTCTACTTTTGGTCATGTTTGGCGGGTTTGTGTGAATGCAATGCAACAGAGACGGACGGTAAAAATGGCGAAAAGAAGAGAAAGAAATGGGTGGGGCAAAAAAATAAGAATTAAAAAGAAAAGATTTTTGGCACAAGAGGCCGCTAAATGCGCCAAATTAACAGACCTTTTCCGTAGTGGAAAGAGTGCTGTGGCAGCCGGAGGTGCAGATGAGGAAGGACCCAGCAGCATGGACAGGACAGGTGCACGATTAGGGATATATTAGTGATTTATTATACACTGAAATTGTTTATATTTGCATTTAAATATAGGCATTTATTACGTGGCTTGGTAGAATTCCTATTCTACCAAGCCATTATCTATGACTATTTGACTATTTTCTTTAGTGGAAGCAATACAATCGTTTTTAAAAAAATAAACTGCTTTTTAAATCAATATTTTGTGTGAAATTATTGATTTATTTGGTAGGTAGCCATGTAATAAGCGGGATAATGTATAGTGAGGCAGCTGATACAAACGCTATAACAACCGCCTCGCTATACATTATCCCTTACATATATTATATATTTATAGATTTATTATATATTATAAACAGCAGTTTGTCGTCACACACAGACAACATCCTTCTATAAGCAAGGAATCTGTATGTCTGTATATGTATATTTGTTAGTATTTGTAACTATTTTATCACTCCGACTGACTGTACACGACATGCTGGTAGTTAGCAGTATACTGTGTGAGTGTTCGAGATTAGGTTTTGCTGACCTGGTTGTGTTCAGTGCAGTGGTGACTTGCTTATACAACCTGAAGAGGCAAGTGTCATCCTAAAATTTCTTGAAGGTCTTCAGTGTAATCTGATTCTCTTTATACCATAAAAACACTATTAGAATTAAAATAACTGCAAAAAATCCTTCTGCTCGTGCACCTAGGGCACTCGCGTAAAAGGCCTCTCCATCTTAAAGTCCCGGGCTGAATTTCAGTCCCAGTACGTCCCTGGTCATGATCACATGTAGTTTTCACTGTCTTGTTTAGCTTTCAGTCTTAGTTTTCATTGTCTTTCTCAATACAGTAGGTGTGTTTGATAGTAGGTGCTTTCCAATCGCTCTCGCGGTGCATTGATGTCACACACCAATCGGTCTGTGCAGCGCCACTTCAAGTCAAACACACCTCTTGTCTTAGGGCTGTTTACACAAAACCGTTTTCAACTAAAAACGTAAAACTTTTTATGAGTTTTGGCCGTTCGTTTACACGACAACAGCGTTTTGGGCGCCTGAAAACGCAAAATTTTGAAAACGGGTTTCAAAGTGCACGTTTTTTTAAACGGTCTCCGTGTAAACAGCAAAAACGTGAATCTCTGAAGACGATGACATCGTGCACATGCGTATTACGTGTTTAATCTATAGTGTTTCATCGCCATCTACTGGCCTGGCAGAATACAGCGTTTCCAGTCGTTTTAGCGGATCCGTGTGAATGGGGATCGTTTTGACAATGGTGTCGTCTGTACGCGGAAAACTCACAGGAAAAACTTCCTGTTTCAAGCATATCGTTGTCGTGTAAACTTACCCTTAGTTCTAGTCGTTCATTCGTTACCATAATCCCTAATTCGTCCTCACCTGTTCGTAGTTCTTTTGATTACTTTCCTCATGTATTTAAGCCCTCTGTTCCTTCAGTTCATTGTGCCAGAACGAGAGACCTTAAAGGATTTAAACGGTGAATTATAAACATGGACCGCAGCTGTTCTCCTCCTCCTGTTAGAGCAGTATCGCTCCCTCGAGGATCACACCAGGGACTTTCTTAATCAGGCTGAAGGCACACCTGCCCGTGGAAGGTCCTCGAGGGAGTTTCGTTGATTATATGGAGTGGTTGCTGGTTAGAAATAACTCTCCATGCACCATCTGTCCCGTTGAGGACGACCTCACCAGCCCCACTCCAGACCCAGAGCCCACCGCTGACTCGGTGTTGTAATGTTTGTCTGTGTTCCCCCTGTCTTTGTGCTTTTGGTTCAGTCCTGTTCACAGTGTTCCCGATCCTCGTTTGTGTTCATGTATACCACGCCCCCTTGTTATCGTGTTTAGCTTGTTTGGCCTTGTATTTAAGCCCTGTGTTTTAGTCCAGTCCTTCACCGCTGGTCCCGTCCAGTCCAGAGCCCTCGCTTCACGTTAGCCACGCCAAATCAGTGACTGTTCACGTCATGCCTGCCGAGCTAGAGACGGTTCGCGTCACGTCTGCTGACCTGGAAGCTGCTTGCGACGCATCTGCCGAGGCCGGAGGCTGCTCGCGTCGCGTCTACCGAGCCAGAGCTCGTGTCTGTTCCCGAGGCTGTGTATTTTCCTGAGCCGGTGTCTGTTCCTGAGTCGGTGTCTGTTCGTGAGTCCGTGTCTGTTCCTGAGTCGGTGTCTGTTCGTGAGTCCGTGTCTGTTCCTGAGTCGGTGTCTGTTCATGAGCCGGTGTTCGTTCCTGTGCCTGCTTCTGCGTATGACCCCGTAGCTACCCCCAAGAAAATTTTAGGGGGGGGGCAGTAGGTCCTCGCCGTGGCCGCCCGAGGGGTCTTCACCGCCGTGGCCGCCCGAGGGGTCTTCACCGCCGTGGCCGCCCGAGGGGTCTTCTCCGCCGTGGCCGCCCGAGGGGTCTTCACCGCCGTGGCCGCCCGAGGGGTCTTCTCCGCCGTGGCCACCCGAGGGGTCTTCTCCGTCGTGGCCGCCCGAGGGGTCTTCTCCGCCGTGGCCGCCCGAGGGGTCTTCTCCGCCGTGGCCACCCGAGGGGTCTTCTCCGTCGTGGCCGCCCGAGGGGTCTTCTCCGCCGTGGCCGCCCGAGGGGTCTTCACCGCCGTGGCCGCCCGAGGGGTCTTCTCCGCCGTGGCCGCCCGAGGGGTCTTCACCTCGGCCGCCTGCACATCCTGCTCCGTCTGCTCCGCCCTGGTCTCCGGCGCAGCCTTCTCCGCCCACGTTCCATGGCCCAGGTCTGCCCACGCTCCATGGCCCAGGTCCATCATTGCAAGACCCTGGTCCCGTTCCCTGCACAGACCTGGCCCTCCATCCCTCCCCCGGGACCGCCTCCGCTCCACCACCCGCCCGAACTGTGTTTCCAGTTGTGATGGGCGTCGGGAGCCGCCCATAGAGGGGGGGCTATGTTGTAATGTCTGTCTGTGTTCTCCCTGTCTTTGTGCTTTTGGTTCAGTCCTGTTCACAGTGGCCAGCAGCCATATCACCCTGTAGCCCAAGACTGGTTGCCCACTGAAGCTAAGCAGGGCTGAGCCTGGTTAGTACCTGGATGGGAGACCTTCTGAGAAAACCAGGTTTCTGCTGGAAGAGGTGTTAGTGAGGCCAGCAGGCGGTGCTCTCCCTGTGGTCTGTGTGGGTCCTAACGCCCCAGGATAGTAATGGGGACACTATACTGTCAATTGAGCACCGTCCTTCGGATGAGACGTTAAACCGAGGTCCTGACTCTCTGTGGTCACAAAAAATCCCAGGATGTCTTTCGAAAGAGTAGGGGTGTAACCCCGGCATCCTGGCCAAATTTGCCCAGTGGCCTCTGTACATCATGGCCTCCTAATCATCCCCATGTATATATATACCAATTGGCTTCATCACTCTGTCTCCTCTCCACCAGTAAGCTGGTGTGTGGTGGGCGTTCTGGCGCAATATGGCTGCCGTCGCATCATCCAGGTGGAGCTGCACATTGGTGGTGGTTGAGGAGATTCCCCCTTCTATGTGAAGCGCTTTGAGTGTCCAGAAAAGCGCTATATAAATGTGATGAATTATTATTATTATTATTAGTGTTCCCGCTCCTCTTTGTGTTCATGTATACCACGCCCCCTTGTTATCTTGTTTAGCTTGTTTGGCCTTGTATTTAAGCCCTGTGTTTTAGTCCAGTCCTTGTGAGTTCTTGTGTTCTTACTGTCGATTTTGGATGCCCTGTTCCTGTTCCTAGTCTGAGTTTTTATGAAGTTTTCAGTTTATTAAATAAAGTGTGCTGCATGTGGATCCTGCTTCCTCCTTGCTTCAACCACATTGTGACACTCGGAGCCCGAGCCTGTCCATGCAACAGAGCTAAAGAGATCGCCAGAGGCTGATGTCATCGCGAGCCTAAGCCCAACAGAGTCTGTCGAAGTCAAGTCAAGTCAAGTCATCTTCATTTATATAGCGCTTTTAACAATGGAGATTGTTTCAAAGCAGCTTTACAGAGATAAAAATACAATTTACGGTAACAGAGGTGTGTGAGCCAGCAGCAGCAGATGGCGCCGAGGGCATATTGGTGGAGTTCATGCGGATGAATTGGAGCACACTCCCACAGCTGAGAATTAGGCCTTGTCCACACTAATACATTTTCGTTTAAAAACGCATCTTTTTCTCTCCATTTTGGCCTTCCGCCCACACTGAGATGTAGACGTAGCCTTAGTTTTCACTGGCGTTCATTTGTTACCGAAGTCCCTAATTAGTCCTCACCTGTTTCTATTTCTGTTGATTACCTTCCTCATGTATTTAAGCCCTCTGTTCCTTCAGTTCATAGTGACAGTGTGTGCTGTTGATGGGAAACTGTATACTTTGGAGTAAAATATTTGACCAAAAAGAATGCATGAAGCTAGAATAAAATGATTGTGACATTACTTGTAATCTCTTCTTCATCTACAGCCGACTTCTTCAGTACAGGTTTCAGAGGTTTAGAGGAGTCTGGATGAGCCGAGGTGGATGGAGACTCTTCTGTGGACGTCTACAACACACACACACACACTGGTTGGTTCTGTGTAAATGAAATGCTGTATGCAGAAAACAATGCATAAAAAGTCAATTGCAGTTCAGACTGAATTGCAGGATATTGTGGGAAATTAGAATAAGGAATTTCGAACAGTGCTGGCTTGAAAGCACTGCAGCAACAGCTTATTATGTCTTATTATATTCTTATTATATCAGACAAGCGTTCACCGTCTGACCTGGAAGTGAACCCTGTAGCTGCAAGGCATGCTGGGAGCAAGTCCTCCTCGCCGGTCCTGCGCTCGCTGCTTTAGGAGCGCCAGCAACTGAGCACGCTCGACAGAACCCAGCAAGAGCATCGACTCTGAGAGACACAAGGGAATCAAACAGAGGGATCAGGACAGGCAGAATAACATAAAATATGTGCATTATCTATATATATATATATGTAAAACCTGTCAAATAATGTAATGTTTATTGGTATGTTACTTTTCACAATACACATTATCTTGACTTATTTATTAATGAATTTAAATAAAAAATATATATAATTAAAATTTAAATTAAATTAAAATTATTATAAAAAATAAAGCTGACTTGATATTTTCTCCCAACGTTCTACAAACATTTTGCTAACGTTCCCATTAGGTTATAAAAACTATATTTCTGAATGTTCTCTGAAAAATATTTCTTGGTTATGTGAATGTTAAGGGAACATTCTATTGTATCATTCTTCAAATATTACTGGAACGTTACTTTAGAATGTTCTCTGAATGTTACTTTTGAATGTTCTCTGAACGTTACTTTTGAATGTTCTCTGAATGTTACTTTAGAATGTTCTCTGAACGTTACTTTTGAATGTTCCCTGAACGTTACTTTAGAATGTTCTCTGAATGTTCCTTTTGAATGTTCTCTGAATGTTACTTTAGAATGTTCTCTGAATGTTACTTTTGAATGTTCTCTGAATGTTACTTTAGAATGTTCTCTGAATGTTACTTTAGAATGTTCTCTGAATGTTACTTTTGAATGTTCTCTGAATGTTACTTTTGAATGTTCTCTGAATGTTACTTTAGAATGTTCTCTGAATGTTACTTTAGAATGTTCTCTGAATGTTACTTTTGAATGTTCTCTGAATGTTACTTTAGAATGTTCTCTGAATGTTACTTTAGAATGTTCTCTGAATGTTACTTTAGAATGTTCTCTGAATGTTACTTTTGAATGTTCTCTGACTGTTACTTTTGAATGTTCTCTGAATGTTACTTTAGAATGTTCTCTGAATGTTACTTTAGAATGTTCTCTGAATGTTACTTTAGAATGTTCTCTGAATGTTACTTTTGAATGTTCTCTGAATGTTACTTTAGAATGTTCTCTGAATGTTACTTTAGAATGTTCTCTGAATGTTACTTTAGAATGTTCTCTGAATGTTACTTTTGAATGTTCTCTGAATGTTACTTTAGAATGTTCTCTGAATGTTACTTTTGAATGTTCTCTGAATGTTACTTTGAATGTTACTTTTGAATGTTCTCTGAGTGTTACTTTGAATGTTACTTTTGAATGTTCTCTGAGTGTTACTTTGAATGTTACTTTTGAATGTTCTCTGAGTGTTACTTTAGAATGTTCTCTAAATGTTCCTTTTGAATGTTCTCTGAATGTTACTTTAGAATGTTCTCTGAATGTTCCTTTTGAATGTTCTCTGAATGTTCCTTTTGAATGTTCTCTGAATGTTACTTTTGAATGTTCTCTGAACGTTACTTTTGAATGTTCTCTGAATGTTACTTTAGAATGTTCTCTGAATGTTACATTTGAATGTTCTCTGAATGTTACTTTTGAATGTTCTCTGAATGTTACTTTAGAATGTTCTCTGAATGTTACTTTAGAATGTTCTCTGAATGTTACTTTAGAATGTTCTCTGAACGTTACTTTAGAATGTTCTCTGAATGTTACTTTAGAATGTTCTCTGAACGTTACTTTAGAATGTTCTCTGAATATTACTTTAGAATGTTCTCTGAATGTTACTTTAGAATGTTCTCTGAATGTTACTTTAGAATGTTCTCTGAACGTTACTTTAGAATGTTCTCTGAATGTTACTTTAGAATGTTCTCTGAACGTTACTTTTGAATGTTCTCTGAATGTTACTTTTGAATGTTCTCTTAATGTTACTTTAGAATGTTCTCTTAATGTTACTTTAGAATGTTCTCTGAATGTTACTTTTGAATGTTCTCTGAATGTTACTTTGAATGTTACTTTTGAATGTTCTCTGAGTGTTACTTTGAATGTTACTTTTGAATGTTCTCTGAGTGTTACTTTGAATGTTACTTTAGAATGTTCTCTGAATGTTCCTTTTGAATGTTCTCTGAATGTTACTTTAGAATGTTCTCTGAATGTTCCTTTTGAATGTTCTCTGAATGTTACTTTTGAATGTTCTCTGAATGTTCCTTTTGAATGTTCTCTGAATGTTACTTTTGAATGTTCTCTGAATGTTACTTTAGAATGTTCTCTGAATGTTACTTTAGAATGTTCTCTGAACGTTACTTTTGAATGTTCTCTGAATGTTACTTTTGAATGTTCTCTGAATGTTACTTTAGAATGTTCTCCGAATGTTACTTTAGAATGTTCTCTGAATGTTACTTTTGAATGTTCTTTGAATGTTACTTTTGAATGTTCTCTGAATGTTACTTTTGAATGTTCTCTGAACGTTACTTTTGAATGTTCTCTGAATGTTACTTTTGAATGTTCTCTGAATGTTACTTTTGAATGTTCTCTGAACGTTACTTTTGAATGTTCTCTGAATGTTACTTTTGAATGTTCTCTGAATGTTACTTTTGAATGTTCTCTGAACGTTACTTTTGAATGTTCTCTGAACGTTACTTTTGAATGTTCTCTGAATGTTACTTTTGAATGTTCTCTGAATGTTACTTTTGAATGTTCTCTGAATGTTACTTTTGAATGTTCTCTGAATGTTACTTTAGAATGTTCTCTGAATGTTACTTTTGAATGTTCTCTGAATGTTACTTTAGAATGTTCTCTGAATGTTACTTTAGAATGTTCTCTGAATGTTACTTTAGAATGTTCTCTGAATGTTACTTTAGAATGTTCACTGAACGTTACTTTAGAATGTTCTCTGAATGTTACTTTAGAATGTTCTCTGAATGTTACTTTAGAATGTTCTCTGAACGTTACTTTAGAATGTTCACTGAATGTTACTTTTGAATGTTCTCTGATCGTTAATTTTGAATGTTCTCTGAATGTTACTTTTGAATGTTCTCTGAATGTTACTTTAGAATGTTCTCTGAATGTTAAGAGGTGTGTTTGTACCTGCAGACTTCACCACAGGCAGCATTTTCAGATTTCCTGAGCGTAGGATCCTGTTAATGTCTCTGTAGGTGGAGTTCAGTGGGACATAACGAACATCTCTTTCCATAAAGTCTTCCACATGAATATTACACTTCCTACCGACAGGGAAAGAGGTAATTATCAACATTTTTGATGCACAAGTCAAGTCAACTCACGATACCTTTATTTATACAGCGCTTGTACAGGGCTATGGTTTAGATGTCTATTAAATTTTCACTGACAGCCCAAATTGTGCCTTGTTTTATCCTAGACATCAAGCCTGTGTTTGGACACTATTAGACATCTTTTAAATGCAAAATTGCTTGCTGGGAATTATTGACATTTTTGATGCACAACACAGGAAAAAACCAAACCACTTGAACTGCTTAGGAATGAACTGCTTAGGAAAGTGTAGTCAAGTCAAGTCACCTTCGTTCATTTATATAGCGCTTTTAACACTATAAATTGTTTCAAAGCAGTTTTGTAGGTGTAAGTGATGCACAGGATAAGAAACAGAAAGAAAGTTATGAAAGGGAAAGCAGAGACTCACTCGCGGTGTCCCCATCGGAGCAAGGGCAGGTACGGCAGCTTCTTAATGCGGATAACCGTGTCGTAGATGGACGGCTGGAGACTCTGAGAGACCATGTTGGCCAGAATCACCGAGATCAAGATGGGCAGAGTGTAGCTAATCTGACCCGTCAACTCCATCATGATCACGCCGGTCGACACGGTGTGCGTGACTCCTGCCGTCAGCGCTGCCGCTCCTGCTCACGAGAGAGAGTCATGTGACTGATCCTCAAACACAGAGAGAGTCATGTGACTGATCCTCAAACACAGAGAGAGTCATGTGACTGATCCTCAAACACAGAGAGAGTCATGTGACTGATCCTCAAACACAGAGGGAGTCATGTGACTGCTCATCAAACACCTCAGGCTCTATTTTAATGATCTAAGCTCATGGTGTCACCGCAAGTGTACTCCGAATCCACTTTTGCTAGTTTAACGACGGGACAAAGGGGCGGCGCTCCCGGCGCTGGTCTAAAAGGGGCGTCCCTATTCTCTTAATGAGTAATGGGTGTGTTTTGGGACCAGCAGCCCATGGGCACACACATGTACGCAAATGCATTTGCTATTTAAACAAGGTGGAGCAGGACGTGAAAATGATAATTGCGTCGGGCTGAAACTAGTAAAACACTAGCGTCGCGCCTGGTGTATGATAGGGCCCAGTGTAACTCCTAATGATTTGAGCTTAATACTGACAGTTTGGTCCCACTGTATATTAAGTGGCTTTAAGTACTATGTACTTACATTAAAATTAATAATTTGATACAATGGACATATTTTTACATTGTACCTATATTTCAAAAATACCTGCATGTAATTACAGCTGTAATGACACAGTTGACCCTTCCCTCACACCACACGTGTCCCTAACCTCACCCGAATCACTCCTCAACAGCAGCAAACTCATGTTTTACGACACAACATCAACACTATGGGCCCTATTTTAACGATCTGAAACGCAAGTGTCAAAGCGCAAAGCGCAAGTAACTTTGTGGGCGGATCCCGGCACTGTTGCTATTTTCCCGGCAGGATAAATGCCTCTTGCGCCTGGCGCAAATCTAAAAGGGGTTGGTCTGAAGTAGCTTCATTATTCATAGGTGTGGTTTGGGCGTAACGTGAAATAAACCAATCAGAGCGTCATCTCACATTCCCTTTAAGAGCAGGCGCGCTTGTTCTAAAGCGGATTCCTATTATAACGGCGGATTTGCCAGGCGCGCGCCAGGAGCGGTTCACAGCCAAGGAGAGCAACGTTCTCGTCAGGGCCGTAAAACACAGAGAAGTGACATTGGGGATGGAGAAACCCACCCAAATTAACTTCTGTTAAACAGGCGTATGATAATTTGAGTAAATGTGTAAGCTACATGTATGCTTTTATAATAAATTATCTATCTATCTATCTATCTATCTATCTATCTATCTATCTATCTATCTATCTATCTATCTATCTATCTATCTATCTATCTATCTATCTATCTATATATCGTAATAATGTATGATTTGCAAAAATGAAAACTGCTGCTTAGATGAGAGAATCAAAGTGTATGCGCGTTGTGCACACGCTACATTGATTATGGCCAAGCATGCGCCCTTAAAATAGCATAATGAACAATGCGCAACGCGCCACTGACTTTAGACTAGGTTTTTTCTGGTCAGTGGCGCAATTGTTTTATAGAACAGCAAAATAGCATGAGGGAAAGTTTGCGCCGGAACACGCCTCCTCTTTGCGCTGAACCGCCCCGGGGAGCGCAAGTGTATTTCTTAGTTAACCGACGTGCGTCTGTGGAGGGAAAAGTCTGCTTTGCGTGGGTGCAAAATAGGAATGATACATGCGTCGGTGTACAAAGTCATTTGCGCCGGGTGCAAGATAGGGCCCAAGAAGTACATTGTACTTATTTTTCGATGTAAGTACATAGTACTTAAAGCCACTTGATATAAAGTGGGACCCATAGGCTGCACACAAATCCAGTTTCTCACCCACGACAGCGTACGCTCCAGGCACGATGTGATATATGTGTCCATTTGTGTTAATTCCCTCTGGGAACAAAGTGGCCATTCCTTCACCCACCAAACGGCCAAACCCAGCACCTGAAACACACACACGAACACACACGGTCAGTTCACACTGATCTTATCAAACCCAGCACCTGAAACACACACACGAACACACACTCATCTTATTAAAGGGTCTTTTTAGAGTCCGTTCACACATAAAACGATAACTGGACTAGCGGTAAAAAGTTTTTTTAATGTTTCTGAAAGAGTCTCTTCTGCTCATCAAGACTGCATTTATTTGATCAAAAATACAGTAATATTATTATAATGTAAATCATCTGTTTTCTATGTGAATATACAGTAAAGTGTAATTTATTCCTGTGATCAAAGCTGAATTTCAGCATCATTACTCCAGTCTTCAGTGTCACATGATCCTTCAGAAATCACTCTAATATGAGGATCTGATGCTCAAGACACATTTATGATTATTATCAGTGTTGAAAACATTTGAGCTGCTTTAGATTTTTCTGGACTTTATGATTTACACTTTATGGTTTTAGTTATCATGGTGTCAAACGGGCCCTAAAAAGGTGGGAATGCCCCAAAAAATAATGATATTTTTCTAGATAAACACAGAAACACATACCAATGACGAATATGGGAACGAAGGAACCACACGGTATAGGAAGGGTTATGGACAGCGCAGACATCCAGAACTACACAACAGACAACAGTAACACAATTAAAGCACAACAACACACACACACACTCACAAATACTGTATATATTAAAACAGCAAGAAATTTTTTTTGTGTGTTTTTATGTGCAACTTGGCATTTCCATCCAGCCTTTATTATGCGATATCCTGAGATTAGCATGACACATGTAACCATGGCGTGTGTGTGTGTTTACCTTCATTAAGACGAAGATGGTGAGGATGATGAAGACGTTCGCCTGAGGATGCTTCCAGGCCGCTAAGTGATCGTCGTTATCAAAGTCTGCCACGATGCAGTGATTTGACCAGGTGCGATTATCAAAAAATGAAATTAAGGATTCCCTTTGTGTAAGCTATAAAGAGGAAATGATGTCATAAACAGGAAAGGGTTCTATATAAACCAAAAAATGGTACAGACTGGTTTTCATGTTTCATTTCAGTGTGTGTGTGTTTGAGTGTGTGTGTGTGTTACCTTTCCAGCCATGAACTGCCCAAAGCCCGGAGGGAAAGTGAGCGTTGAAATCAGTACAGAGACCAAAGCAGAATACAAGAAAACACTAGACAGAAAACACATGATTATACACACACACACACACACACACACACACACACACACACACACACACACACACACACACACACACACACACACACACACACACACACACACACACACACACACACACACACACACACACACACACACACGTGTTTATGCATCACTCACTTCTTCATGAGGAAGCTGTTCATGGCTTTCTGCTTCTTCACAAACAGAGTGATCTTTCCATACAGGAACACGAAGAAGGCTCCGCCGAAGCCACACACTACCCTAAGGAAGAGAACGTGTGTGTGTGTGTTAACGTGTGTGTGTTTTAACATGTGTGTGTGTGTGTGTGTGTTAAAGCAACAAACCACAAGAGCTTGTGCGTCACAGTGATTTTATCACATCGAGAAGTGTTTTAGAGAAGTATCTCTGTTTGTTTTAAACTGAAAAAAGTGACAAAAATCTGTGAGTGCCACAAAACAAACTTATATTCTGTATACTATATAAAAGCTTGAATATCTGAAGCAATTTTGCTCATAATGTAAATATGTATTGAGCTAAAAATGTGTGCTACATTTATTTTTATAACTTGCACACACCTAAAATGTGCACTTATATTATCTTTTAGAAGATAAACAAATACTCTAACAAATGTATTGCTCATCTTTAGTTAATACATTAACTTAGTTCAATTCTATTCACATTTATTTGTACAGCGCTTTTCACAATACACATCGTTTCCAAGCAGCTTTACAGAAAATGCAAATTTACAATCTACAGTGATCTGTTATCAGAGGAAACTGTCTAAGTTATGCAAAAAAACAAAACAAAAAAAACCTCCTTCAAAGCTAAAGCTCTAGGGCTATAGTGTGTGCTTGGCCGTGACACACACTCACCCCATGGCAGCGAAGGCCGGCAGCTCCTGCAGGTCGAACGGGTAGTCCAGCCGGTACTTCGTGGCGTAAAGAGCCGTGAGCGTCTCTGAGAGAGAGAGAATAACTCCACTCAACGTCTGGTGTCGTTACACACACGCCACAACTAATATAAGGAGGTTTTAGCACTCTAAATATTCTTATAAAACAAATATGAGCCCCGACTGGTGTTAAAAACGCTGTAACACACAGCCTGATCGCTCTATTAAAGGAGCACTATTTAACTTTTCTTACTTCAAAATTAACAACATTTAATAACTAGAAAGTCCTTTTTCCAAAGCGTGTTTTTGTCTAATTACCTTATTTGCATGATTCATCAACATCAGCTCGTGTGTGTGTGTGTGTGTGTGTGTGTGTGTTTACCAGTCAGACAACTAGACAGAGCTTGTAATAAAACAAGAATCAACATCAGCTCATGTGTGTGTGTGTGTGTTTGTGTGTGTGTGTGTGTGTGTGTGTGTGTGTGTGTGTGTGTGTGTGTGTGTGTGTGTGTGTGTGTGTGTGTGTGTGTGTGTGTGTGTGTGTGTGTGTGTGTGTGTGTGTGAGACCTGGTAGAGGCGGATGATGTGTGTGTGTGTGTGTGTGTGTGTGTCTGTGTGAGAGAGAATGACCTGGTAGAGGCGGATGATGTGTGTGTGTGTGTGTGTGTGTGTGTGTGTGTGTGTGAGAGAGACCTGGTAGAGGCGGATGATGTGTGTGTGTGTGTGTGTGTGTCTGTGTGAGAGAGAATGACCTGGTAGAGGCGGATGGTGTGTGTGTGTGTGTGTGTGTGTGTGTGTGTGTGTGTGTGTGTGTGTGTGTGTGTGTGTGTGTGTGTGTGTGTGTGTGTGTGTGTGTGTGTGTGTGTGTGTGTGTGTGTGTGTGTGTGTGTGTGTCTGTGTGAGAGAGAGTGACCTGGTAGAGGCGGATGATGTGTGTGTGTGTGTGTGTGTGTGTGTGTGTGTGTGTGTGTGTGTGTGTGTGTGTGTGTGTGTGTGTGTGTGTGTGTGTGTGTGTGTGTGTGTGTGTGTGTGTGTGTGTGTGTGAGACCTGGTAGAGGCGGATGATGTGTGTGTGTGTGTGTGTGTGTATGAAGCTCTCTAGCAGAGTTCACTGTAAAGCATTATCTATTGTGAAGATCATATTCATACGCACAGTCATGCAGAGCTGAAGCAAAACCACAACCATGTTCTTCCATGAAATGCAGTTTAGTTTTGAACTGCCAGACTGGAGGGTTATATAGGGTTACAGCTTTGATCAACATTATTCAGTAACACTTTACAATAAGGTTCATTAGGTAATGCATTAACTAACATGATCTAACAATGAGCAATACATCTCTGTTAATGTTACTTAATAAAAATCCAGCTGTTCATTGTTTGTTCATGTTAGTTCACAGTGCATTACTAATGTTCATAAATACAACCTTTGATTTTAATAACGTATTAGTAAATGTTGAAATGACTGTTAACTAAGATGAATAAATGCTGTAGAAGTATTGTTCATTCTCAGTTCATGTTAACTAATGAACCTTATTGTAAAGGGTTACCGTTATTAACATGCATTATCTGCAGAACACACACACACACACACACACACACACACACACACACTCACACACATACATATACACACACACACACACACACACCTTCCTCTCTGTGCCACACGGGCAGAAGCCTGAAGATCAAGGAACCGAACGTAGCGGACAGAAATCCACGCCAGTAGTTTGGTGCGACAAAAAACCTTGAGGTGATCTCCAGGCTGAACAACACTCCTGAAACACACACACACACACACACACACACACATACACATAGTAACCATGTTTTATGGGGACTTTCCATTGACATAATGATTTTATACTGTACAAACTGTATTTTCTATCCCCCTAAACCTACCCATCACACACACACACACACACACACACACATGCTCTAGAGTCCGTGATCCTCATAGGCTGAGCAGGGTGGGCCGGGGGGAGTGCCGACACTGCTGGTGTTAGGCCTTCTCGTCCTCCTGGTGGCGCTGTTGCTTTGTCTCTGTGGTTCATGGCGTGCCGCTCCTTCCTGAACGCATTTCTTCCAGGAGCTCCTGGCCAGTGCAGGGTGTTCCCAGTGGCTCCATGTGATATAGAACTTATGCAGAATTGCCCTTGAAATATTAAAATATTGCGGAAGCATGATAGTGGCCTTGTGTTTATTTACGCACTTCATTGCACCAAGCGTTGTTTTTGTTTTCTTCTTATTTATTTAAATCCAGATGATTGATTTACAACACATCTATTGAAATTAAGGTACAAATTATACAAGCCGAAAAATCATCTCCGACCCACTCCATATCTCTCCCGACATATTGTATTCAATCCATTTCCACGCCCTTTATGATGTATCCCATTTTTGATATTTTAAATTAAAACAAAACAAACAAATAATATCATACAATTGTAACAAAAATATGAAACCAAATAAATGTACTTAAATGGGCCTGTCCACCAGTGTTGCACTGCATTACTGTAGTGGTCGTGCTGGTCATGTTGGCCTCCTCCGAGATGCTGATGTCGGTGTCCGTCCCCCAGCTGATCCTCACAATCTTTCATAGGGATCTTTGTTGGTATTGTTCCATGTCTCTCATACCGCTTTTCCACCAAAGCATTTTGAGAGCCGGTTCGGAGCCGGTGTCTACAGTTCTTTTACCTCGTTTCCACCAAAAAAGAACTGGTTCGGAACTGGTGCTGGTTCAAAGTTGGTTCACAGAATCTGTTTGTTTTTCCACTGACTAGAGAGCCCGGCGAACGACGCCGTTACGTCTCTGTGTACGTCGCCATACGTCTTAGCCCGACGTAAGCATGACGTGGTGAAAGAACGGTTCTAGTCCAGCAAAGAGTTGGTGCCGCTTTGAAACCAATTTTCCTTTGGCTGTCGAAACACAAAGTCCCTCCCTGTGAAGGCCTCCTCCGTCTCCTCTGTACAGACAATCGCTGTCGGGATAATGCCGGTTCGCGTGGCTACGCCGAAGCGCTAAAATTCTGTATTGTAAATTTTAAGAACAGCCAAGTAGTTTGTTGAGGGTTGGTTTTTAGGGAAGGACTACATGCCTGCGCACATATATTCAAACACACACACCTATAGAATGAACTCTTAATACGCATGTGCGCGCCATCAGCGTTCTCACAGGCTCGCGTTCTTAAAGTGTGCGTAGAGAGAACTTAAGAGTTTTCTGTTAGAGCGGTGTCGTGTTGGCGGCCTTGAGTTAATGGCTAGTGGTCGTTGCGATGGAAGTGAATCAATTAAAACTAACTTTAGCTGGACAATAACTTTATTCTAGAGCTGCTGTAAAGCAGCTTTGGAACAATCTACATTGTTAAAAGCGCTATATAAATGAAGATGACTTGACAAAGAACTGGTTCGCGAGTAGGCACCGGCTCCGAACCGGCTCTCAAAATGCTTTGGTGGAAAAGGGGTATTTGTGTTTCGACAGCCAAAGAACCGGTTCTCGGCCAGGAAAATTGGTTCCAAATGCTGGACTAGAACCGTTCTTTCACCACGTCATGCTTACGTCGGGGGCGGGGGGCGGGTTACTGTGAACAACAACACGACGGGAATGGGAAAGCTAAGACGTATGGCGACGTACACAGTGACGTAACGACGTCATTCGCTGGACTCTCTAGTCAGTGGAAAAACAAAGTAAGTCGACCCAACTCTGAACCAGCACCAGTTCCGAACCAGTTGTTTTTGCTGGAAACGAGGTATCAGCTGTAGATGGTCCATGACTCGGCTCCATACACAACGGTTCTGTTGACCAGGGGTTCTGCTTGGGCTGTTAGGTCTCGGACTCCGAAGACTCTTCTCCTGAGTCTGGCGTAGGCTCCACTGGCACCGCTCAGCCGATGTCAGTGCCAAGGTAGGGGAGGTGGGCCACATGTTCAAGGGTGGGGTTGTCCACTTGCATGGTGCGCTGGGTAGCTGGCTGGTTGGGTGGAGATTGGAATAGGACTTGGGTCTTCTTGATGTTTAATTTTAGGCCCAGGGCACTGTACACCTTGGCAAAGTCAGTCAGGATGGTCTTCTGTGGAGAGTGCTGGGATGAAGTTATCGTACACGTACTGAAGCTCTGTGATGGATGGTCTTTGCTCTTGAAAACAATACACGATGGTTGATGTTGCTCTTGGCCTTGACATGTACTTGTACATGACTGGAATCTCCTATGGCACCTCTCCACCAATGAGGAGGAGTATGGCAGCAATGAAGATTGCAAACAGGGTGCGTGAGATGATTCACATTTAATCATTTAGCAGACGCTTTTATCCAAAGCGACTTACAAGTGAGGAGAGCAATAGATATAGATATGTAGCCACCCGTCTCCTCTTTCAGTTTCGTCTGCTAGTCGAGTCTCAGAAAGGATGGCTAGGTCGATCCGGTATCTTCTCAGTTCTCTAGAGATGATTGGGGTTCTCCTCTCCGGTCTAACCATAGGACTTAAATCGGGATGTTAGTATGGATTCCCAAAAGGACGCCGGTGCGTCCCAGTCTTGGATTCCCAGTCTTTCCAGTCGTTGTGATGCTCCCCTAAGGCCAGCCATCATCCACCGTCTGTTCCACCACTGAGGTCTTGGTTGGAGACACACACACACACACACACACACACACACACACACAGTTTTCTCACCTCCAATAGGAGAAGCGAAGCAGCACCCAATTCCAACAGCACATCCGACCGTCAGCATCTCCTTGTTTCTGGCCTTGTTCTGTTCAACACACACACACACACACACACACACACAGAAGAGAACTAAATTCGCGGCAGGTCGGCAGCACGGCACAATCAAGAGCATTTTGGTTCACCTTCTTTCCTGTCACCCCGTGTAGATCTGAACGTAAATGGTTGTAGTTCATGAACGCTTTGGAAGCTAAACTTAGTTTTTTTTAAAGACTGAGATTATTCCAGGAGAGAAAGCACTTCCAAAAAAATAAAAGTTTAAAAAAGTTATCAAAATTTAAGTTCAAAATATATATTTTACAAAATAATTTGGCCTCTAAAATTGCTATAAAACCAAAGCCATGTGTCTATCCAAGGTGTTAAATTTGAAGTTGATATCACAAAAATTGAGCTGCTAAAAAGATGTAAAGTAGCGATTCCATGGAAACACAGGGTCAAATTTCAAAACAGTTTTAAAAGGATGATTTTTGAGTGTTTAAGCTTTCGAATGCCACCTAATTTATGATCATTACTTAAACATCTGATAGGGGGAAAAGGGCTTTAACACCATCTTTCACAACAATACATTTCAAAATTCAAAGCAAAGCACAGAGCACAGATCTGTGTTGGGTAGATCTACTGAATACTATAATAATGTTTTAAATACCTTATAAATCCCACTGAAGAGCGACATGAACTTGCAGAGAAGAATAGCACACATACTGCCGATGTGCACGAACGGACCCTACAGAACACACACACACACACACACACACACACACACACACACACACACACACACACACACACACACACACACACACACACACACACACACACACACACACACACACACACACACACACACACACAATATCATAACAAGCTCACCTGAAAATAAACCCTGTAAAGCCTGACACATTAAGAAATCTAAAAATAATGCATATATGTTGTTTGTTGAGTATCATACCCATCATCGCCACCAGAGGGCACTCCTTCCGTCTGTGTGTGTGTGTGTGTGTGTGTGTGTTTGTTCACCTCTTTGCCCACAGGTAATTCACTTCCAAGCACACAGGTCAGACTGATGACTTTGGACACTAGTGTTCTGAAGGTCAGATACTCCGGCAGCACGACTCCTCTCAGAGCCGTCTTCATCTCAGGAATACCTGACCCTAAACACACACACACACACGCACACACACACACACATCAATCATGAGTTATGAAGAATTACACAAAGAGTTCATCACATGTTTCTCAGCTCAAATGTCCTCATTAATGTCCTTACACCTGTAGATCAGAGTCAAAGCTATCAAAACTCATAAATTATGTTTAGCTGTAAATATAATGATGGATTGTGTGTGTTGTGTGTGTGTGTGAGTGTGTGTGAGTGTGTGTGTTGTGTGTGTGTGTGTGTGTGTGTGTGTGAGTGTGTGTGTGTGTGTGTGTGTGTGTGTGTGTGTGTGTGTGTGTGTGTGTGTGTGTGTGTGTGTGTGTGTGTGTGTGTGTGTGTGTGTGTGTGTGTGTGTGTGTGTGTGTGTCTCACCAGCAGCCTGAGGCGATACTATGCTCGCGAATCCTGCCGCGAAACACATGAGGGTCATAGAATAAGAGACCCATGCGAAATACTGGAGGAAAACATGACTGTCCGAAATATCGTAGATCCACCTGTGCACTACAGAGAGAGAGAGAGAGAGAGAGAGAGAGAAGTTAGATTTTTAAGCATAAAAATAATGAACATTTGGGAAAGAGATGATTTCCTTCCCTCGGGTCCCTAAAAGATTTTGACTCTAAAATCTTTTTTAAAATATATATTTTTTCTAGATTAGTGTCCATCAGAGGGGTCAAGACCCCAGGACTTTTGTCGCACTTGAACCATATACACATAAAAAAATGTATGGGTTTGAGAAGTTTTGTGGTTGAAATTGAAAACAGTCACACATCCTTCCCTCTCGGCTCAATCTGACCCCCTTAGGAATGAGTGGAATGTGAGGAATGCTTTAGTACACATAGAAAAACCTAAAAATGCTCAAAATTCAAACTAAAAATGCTAAAACTTTACCAAAAAATGATTGTATAATGTCTACATGTGTATCTGAATGCACACAGAAGAGAAATGCCTTTAGGACCCAGCGGAACAGCTCAAGTGCGAGTGAAGGATGAGGGTTAATGTCATGCACTCACCGTCTGTGAAGAGTGTGACGACGATATCCATGACGAAGCTGATCACTGCCATGATGAAGCCCAGGATCATGAGGAAGACCCAGTCCGCTCCGATCAACGTCACCAAGAGCCGCTGAAAGTGTGAGACCCGCACTACAGAGAGGAAATACATTACCCATAATGCTTCAGTGCACACCTGCAGACTCCATAAACTCAGACTGCTTTACCCATAAAGCCCAAGCCAGTGCTCCCATGAGACTAAAGTGAGCAACAACAGTGTTAGTTTCTTCTTTAAACGCTTGAGTGTTGCAGTATATAGTGAGTTGAGTATATAGTGAGTACTGAGTATATAGTGAGTAATGAGTATATTGTGAGTAATGAGCATATAGTGAGTACTGAGTATATAGTGAGTTCTGAGTATATAGTGAGTATATAGTGAATATATAGTGAGTACTGAATATATAGTGAGTACTTAGTTTATAGTGAGTACTTACTATATAGTGAGTACTGAGTATATAGTGAGTATATAGTGAGTCCTGAGTATATAGTGAGTGTCTATAGTGAGTACTGAGTATATAGTGAGTATATATAGTGAGTAGTGAGTACTGAGAATATAGTGAGTGTATATAGTGAGTACTGAGTATATAGTGAGTATATAGTGAGTACTGAGTATATAGTGAGTTCTGAGTATATAGTGAGTATATAGTGAGTACTGAGTATATAGTGAGTATATAGTGAATATATAGTGAGTACTGAGTATATAGTGAGTATATAGTGAGTACTGAGTATATAGTGAGTATATAGTGAGTACTGAGTATATAGTTAGTTCTGAGTATATAGTGAGTATATAGTGAATATATAGTGAGTACTGAGTATATAGTGAGTACTTAGTATATAGTGAGTACTGAGTATATAGTGAGTATATAGTGAGTACTGAGTATATAGTGAGTATATAGTGAATATATAGTGAGTACTGAGTATATAGTGAGTATATAGTGAGTACTGAGTATATAGTGAGTATATAGTGAGTACTGAGTATATAGTTAGTTCTGAGTATATAGTGAGTATATACTGAATATATAGTGAGTACTGAGTATATAGTGAGTACTTAGTATATAGTGAGTACTGAGTATATAGTGAGTATATAGTGAGTGTCTATAGTGAGTACTGATTATATAGTGAGTATATATAGTGAGTAGTGAGTACTGAGAATATAGTGAGCGTATATAGTGAGTACTATGTATATAGTGAGTATGTAGTGAGTACTGAGTATATAGTGAGTGTATATAGTGAGTACTGAGTATATAGTGAGTATGTACTGAGTACTGAGTATATAGTGAGTATGTACTGAGTATATAGTGAGTATTGAGTATATAGTGAGTATATGAGGGGTGGTGATGGCGCAGTGGGTAAGACACATGCCTTTGGTGTGAGAGACCCGGGTTCGAATCCACTGTGAATCCACCCTGAGCAAGACACTTAACCCCTAGTTGCTCCAGAGGCGTGCGACCTCTGACATATATAGCAATTGTAAGTCGCTTTGGATAAAAGCGTCAGCTAAATGAATAAATGTAGTGAGTATATAGGGAGTACTGAGTATACAGTGGGCATATATAGTGAGTACTGAGTATATAGTGAGTACTCTGAGTATATAGTGAGTATATATATTGAATAGTGAGTACTGAGAATATAGTGAGTGTATAGTGAGTAGTGAGTATATAGTGAGTATGTACTGAGTATATAGTGAGTATATAGTGAGTACTGAGTATATAGGGAGTACTGAGTATACACTGAGTATATAGTGAGTATATAGTGAGTACTGAGTATATAGTGAGTATACAGTGAGTACTGAGTATATAGTGAGTATACAGTGAGTACTGAGTATATAGGGAGTATACAGTGAGTAATGAGTATATAGTGAGTATACAGTGAGCATATAGAGACTCACTCACCCCCACACTGGTGACACGGGCTGAGTTCAGAGAGGGATGTCCGGTGACGACGGTCTCTGCGAAGACGGCCTGCATCTTTCGTGTGAAGCCCTTGTTCCTACAGGACAGACACAGATACAGATAGAGATTCAGGGCTGTAAAACTGTAGGTACTGAGAAACAGAACTTACATAAAATGCCTTGAAATCACCTTCTTATTTTTACTAAAACCCAGACAGGGTTCGTACAGATTCTGTAAAATGCAATTCCAGGACTGTTCAAGCACTACTTTTGGGGATTTCAAGGACTACAATCAGCACTTATCAAACAATATCTTTATTATTTGATATTTATTTTCTTTTTATTACGCAAAAAATTATTAATTTTAATTTTGCGTGAAAAGATTGAATGTTTTTTATTATTATTATTAATTCAAGCACTTTTCAAGTACCTCTTTAAAAAAAAAGTCTGTTTTCAAGGGTTTTCCAGGACTTAAATTTCAGAAAGTCAAATCCAAGCACTTCAAGCGACTTGTAACCCTGCGGATTCTTGATTCTTGATTTCAAAAGTATCTGCATTTAATTGTAATAATAATAAGTATTTAAGATTTGAAAAATTACACAACTTCCAAACTTTTTCTAAACACACACATTGATTTTTGAAAACCGGAGGCAGCAGAAATTGTTTTAGTATTTTTGTCGAAAACCTGTCAAAAAATCATCTTTGTTCTGACTATGTTAAACTCTCAGACACTGCAGATGTTAAAGCAAACCAATATCTTGAAACCTGTCACTTATATGTTTGGCATTTGAATATAATGATTTTTAGACTAATAGTCATGAAACGTGTTCACACTTGACATCAATAGCACTGGATAGTTATTATAAAACACATTACTGTAGTTCAAAGTTTGTGCGATGGTCACCCAAAATTACCATTAGGCTATGTCATCTTTTTTTTTTCTTTTTTTTTTAATTGAGTGAAAATACAAGTAGAACAGATCACACATACAAATTGCCAAACATATTACTTTAGTAGGACTACTATTACTCAAACTAATGTACATACCCAGAGTTTACAAACTTCCATTGTTACCATAATAAATTAATGTACGAGTCATTTTGTTTAGTATTTTTAGGGTGTCCTGTGGCTCATACCAAATAACCAGTTTTACTATTTTAGCTCATCTGAACTCTGTTTGCACCATTGATCATTATGTTATTACTGTAAAGCTGCTTTGAAACTGTATTGTAAAGCGCTAAATAAAGGTGGCTTGACTGGTGTTCTTCACAGATCATGTGGTTGTTTTGTCACTTCTGTGGAGAAATGTGTCCCCATACTACACTTAGTGAACCCACCTAAAATCTCGCTGAGAAACCGCTTCTGTTCGGCAACTTCTGCCTGAGGTGAGTCCGTTTTTAGTCTCTCCAGAATTACGTTCAGTTTACGTAACGTACGTACACGTGCTTGAGCCCGTACGCTAACAGCGTAACGCGCGCGCGGGAACGCATGCACGTCATCATCACGGCTGTGCTGAGGAGAGTCTGTCAGTAAATAAAGTAAGTTTGTCCATGATATGTATGTTGTCATTTTGCGGATTAATCTTTCATATCGATGCATTCAGTTAAAATAATTAAATACACGAGAGACGAGACATGGCTGAGCGATATGACGATATTGTGGCGACGATTTAAATATTCCACACAGTAATGTTTGCAGGACTGCTTAAAGCTATCGACACGTTAAAGCCATAAAAAAATAAGGTTTAATGAGAAAATAAGTGGTGGTGGTGTGTGTGTGTGCGTGCTATTATTAAAAACACAATAAACCGCGAAAGAGACGTAACGTTATTTAGGCTAGCAATTAATATTTGCTAAATTCTTGAAGTTGGTATCGAGAATTGTGATTTTTTTGTGATTTGCTGCCTGTTGTTATAGTAACACCATTATTTCCAGTAAAAATCGCATATTTTGATATATCATTTCTCATAGGCTACTATTTTGTCATATTTGTCATTATCATAAAACAATCACGATTGTTTGTTTTGCTAATTGAAAATACTTTTTCAAATAAATAACGAACTATTTAATCCAGTCAGTGGGTTTTAAATGTTTATATTTGCTATTTTTAACAATAGGGTTTGATATTTTTGCACTATTTATAGTCTGTGACTGTGAGAGTATGGCTAAATTATAAAAAATGTGTCTTATTTTACATACAAAACACATTTATGTGATTATTGATGTACATTAATGTTATTCATCATTGACCATCTGGGTTTATTTCAGAAACTTATAACATATGTGTGCCAATAATTGCACAGATGTTGTATCTCTGTCATAGTTATTATTGACCCCTGTTACGTGAGTGACAAAACATATAATAGCTTTGACTATTACATTTATTTCTAGAAGTAAAGCCAGCAACTGTAACGTCTCTGCAAATGCTTGACCATTTTGTAGCTCTCTTCTGTATTTATGTTTAATGTTGGTGATTTAAACACACTTCTAGAGCTTCTGTGATCGCACAGTATTATCCTCTACATCATCACACTCCTTCTTCACTCTGCTAAACTATCCTTAACTTCATTAATGATAATGCAGCATGTCATCATTCAAACTTTTCTCATGATTAAGCCTTTTTATCTCATTATGATTTTAATATGTCATCATTTTGATCTAATAAATAAATATGACTTGGTATATCAAAATTTTGACATTTTTATGTCATTGTTTTTTAAGTCATGATTTTGAAATATCATGTAATAAATGTGACGGTATGTCACTTTTTATGTGGTTATATTTCGACTCAAGTCAGAATTTTGACTTTTTAATGTCATTATTAGGTTGTTTTTTTTGCACTTTTTTTGTCATTGTTTTTTAAGTCATCATTTCAAATTAGTATGTCATGATTTAGATCTTTCATCTCATAATTATGGATTAGTATGTCATAATTTTTTTTTTTTTTTTACTAGTATGCAATATTTGTGACAGTATTTAAAAATTGTAATGTTATAATTAGGATATCTTTTTTAACCGCAACTTAGTATGTCATAATTATGATGACTTTATAAGTCATAATTTCTACTTTAAACTCATAAATATGACTTAGTATGTCATAATTTCGATTTACCAAAGCATGATTGATGAAATGGCCTTCCATACAGAGGAGTCTGTCAGTAGATAAAGTTAGTTAATGATATTTATTTTGTTTTATTGCAGATTAATCTTTCATTCATTATTAAATATAGTTTCTGCAGCTGCAATGCTATTTATCAGCATGTCTTCTTCATTTTAACACTTGTACTCATCTAACCCACCCGACGGATGGTGTAGTTCCCACATCTGCCAGCAGGGGCTAACGGGCGAAACACAGAAGAGGAAACACTCACCAGATTACTCTCGTCGTTACCCTCCACACCCATGATGCCGATCTCTCACACACACTTCGGTATGCCGTCGGTCGCCACACACACACTCCCAGCACGCGACACACACCGCTCAGTGGCGTGACAGAGTTTCAGAGCTTTTATGTGTGAAAGAAGTTTGTGTTGTGCTAAATATGAGAGAGGCTCCGCCCACTGCGTATGAACACGAGTACACGAGTTCTCAGAAATGATCAATCATGAAAACAATTCACTTTTAATATTTGGCTATATTTATGTAGAATCAGATATATCCTAAAATTCGCCTCATGAATGTGGGAATCTTCAAATAGAAATGAGCTGAAGTATTCAGTTCACGTCTAAACTTCTGATACAAGTTTTTTATAATAAAAAGATGTGAATTAGCTATAAATTAAATTATTAATTTCCCAGCTCAGAGGAATCAAACCTGTCCTTTTCCATGAACAGAAATCCACGCAGAATGAAATTGTTAAAGCAGAAATGAGTTCATGAGAATTTGCTGGCACATCAAGTGCATAAACACTTCATGGAGGACACACACACACACACACACACACACACACACACTCACCGAGAGCGCGGACTGCTTTAGCAAATCACGGTGTATTGACAGGTTAAACACCAACAGAATGTTATTTCTATGAGTTTTAGCTGAAGGTGGACATTGTTTGTACGGCCAACAGTCAGTGGGAGTGAAGGTACAGACCACAGAACCAGTCAAACCTTACTGGAACGGGTCACCAGCGGTGTGCTGGACCGCAGAACCAGTCAAACCTTACTGGAACGGGTCACCAGTGGTGTGCTGGACCGCAGAACCAGTCAAACCTTACTGGAACGGGTCACCAGTGGTGTGCTGGACCGCAGAACCAGTCAAACCTTACTGGAACGGGTCACCAGTGGTGTGCTGGACCGCAGAACCAGTCAAACCTTACTGGAACGGGTCACCAGTGGTGAGCTGGACCACAGAACCAGTCAAACCTTACTGGAACGGGTCACCAGTGGTGTGCTGGACCGCAGAACCAGTCAAACCTTACTGGAACGGGTCACCAGCGGTGTGGTGGACCGCAGAACCAGCCAAACCTTACTGGAACGGGTCACCAGTGGTGTGCTGGACCGCAGAACCAGTCAAACCTTACTGGAACGGGTCACCAGTGGTGTGCTGGACCGCAGAACCAGTCAAACCTTACTGGAACGGGTCACCAGTGGTGTGCTGGACCGCAGAACCAGTCAAACCTTACTGGAACGGGTCACCAGCGGTGTGGTGGACCGCAGAACCAGCCAAACCTTACTGGAAAGGGTCACCAGTGGTGTGCTGGACCGCAGAACCAGTCAAACCTTACTGGAACGGGTCACCAGTGGTGTGCTGGACCGCACAACCAGTCAAACCTTACTGGAACGGGTCACCAGCGGTGAGCTGGACCACAGAACCAGCCAAACCTTACTGGAACGGGTCACCAGTGGTGTGCTGGACCGCAGAACCAGTCAAACCTTACTGGAACGGGTCACCAGTGGTGTTGGACCGCAGAACCAGTCAAACCTTACTGGAATGGGTCACCAGCGGTGTGCTGGACCGCAGAACCAGTCAAACCTTACTGGAACGGGTCACCAGCAGTGAGCTGGACCGCAGAACCAGTCAAACTTTACTGGAACGGGTCACCAGTGGTGTGCTGGACCGCAGAACCAGTCAAACCTTACTGGAACGGGTCACCAGTGGTGTGCTGGACCGCAGAACCAGTCAAACCTTACTGGAACGGGTCACCAGTGGTGAGCTGGACCACAGAACCAGTCAAACCTTACTGGAACGGGTCACCAGTGGTGTGCTGGACCGCAGAACCAGTCAAACCTTACTGGAACGGGTCACCAGCAGTGAGCTGGACCGCAGAACCAGTCAAACCTTACTGGAACGGGTCACCAGTGGTGTGGTGGACCGCAGAACCAGTCAAACCTTACTGGAACGGGTCACCAGTGGTGTGCTGGACCGCAGAACCAGTCAAACCTTACTGGAACGGGTCACCAGTGGTGAGTTGGACCGCAGAACCAGTCAAACCTTACTGGAACGGGTCACCAGTGGTGTGCTGGACCGCAGAACCAGCCAAACCTTACTGGAACGGGTCACCAGTGGTGTGCTGGACCGCAGAACCAGTCAAACCTTACTGGAACGGGTCACCAGTGGTGAGTTGGACCGCAGAACCAGTCAAACCTTACTGGAACGGGTCACCAGTGGTGTGCTGGACCACAGAACCAGCCAAACCTTACTGGAACGGGTCACCAGTGGTGTGCTGGACCACAGAACCAGTCAAACCTTACTGGAACGGGTCACCAGTGGTGTGCTGGACCACAGAACCAGCCAAACCTTACTGGAACGGGTCACCAGTGGTGTGCTGGACCACAGAACCAGCCAAACCTTACTGGAACGGGTCACCAGTGGTGTGCTGGACAGCAGAACCAGTCAAACCTTACTGGAACGGGTCACCAGTGGTGAGTTGGACCGCAGAACCAGTCAAACCTTACTGGAACGGGTCACCAGTGGTGTGCTGGACCACAGAACCAGTCAAACCTTACTGGAACGGGTCACCTTTTTACGGTAGATTTCTGGCAACCACAGCTGCCGTTTTTTACCGTAAATTTAACAGATTTCTTTTTTTACCGTGTATCTAGTGGAATACTAGACGCCATTATCTCTGATGACTTGAATCAGTGTGAAGTACAAGTATAAGTTAGTTATGAGTCATAGTGATTATACGAAGGTGGCTTATTTATTGATTTTAATATTTCAAAGAATGGCTTGTGGGGTATTTTTGGAAAAACAGAAACATTTCCGAGTTTCTTCTACATAATCTTGGAAGAATGCTGCATTGTCACTGTTATTACTTTGGGTTTTAATTTAGCTCGTGTTGTTATTGTACAAACACACACACACACACACACACACACACACACACACACACACACACACACACACACACATCAGCTGTTTTCTAGGGATGCAAACTCAAAAAGAAAGAACTGAAAAGAAATAAACAATTGACATTTGACATTGAGATGAACATGATTGTTACCAAACAATATCCCTCCTTCTCGATGCAAAGATGTTCACAAGTATTGGTTAAGAACAGACGATTGGTAAAGGACCCAATGGTTTCGCCACGCAAACTTGTGTTAGTAGTGTAACTAGTCAACCTCAACTCTACCAACCACTGTCAACCATTCCTTGTGTTTCAGGGAAAAACACAATATATTGCACTATGGGAATGAAAAGGGCGGGCCTTAAGGTAGCCAATGACGTGCTGGTCTTAAGTCACATGACATTTGCCTTGTCGCATGACTGTCACGTCACACTGAATACGCCTGTTGAGGTGCTCCAGAAATTGTGGGTAAATTAGATAGTTTTGTTCACAAATCAGCGTTGTCTAACATAGTTTTACTGTAAGTTGATGAAATATCAACAGTTTCCATATGGCACCGCTGCACAGTGGACTTCAGTAATGCATTCCCCATCGGGATTCTTCAGCAGTATGACTGCAACGATTTAAGAGTTTAATGTAGTATCGTTGTATTCATGTATAAATAACAGATTGATTAAAAAATTAATACAGCAATATTTTGGGAAAGGCCATTAGGAAGAGTGCAGAGTTATGAGTTAGCCAAAGGATTGGGATTTAATGATAGGGATCTACTTATTTTTGGTTTACAAATATAGTACACAAATCTACCAATTTCTAACAGAAATGTGCAATTAAATAGAAAAGAAACTCAACACACACACAATTTATTTTTTGTTCAGAATTTTTTTAATGATTGAAGCTATTTCATTTAATAAAAAACTTATTTGAAAAAAATATTTCATGGTTAGAAGATAATGCATACCATAGAGGGCTAAAGTTGGTGAAACGTTAGGAGAGACAAATTACTTCTGAGTTAAAGTGTTTTTGTTTTGTTTTTAAATCTATTCAACATATAATAAAGGTGTATATGTATACTGTGCACATCCAGAGATGTTTGAAGCGTATGATTTCAGGACCTCATCTCTCCTGTGTTTGGGTTTACTGCCGTTATTGGTGTGAACACTAGAGGGCGCTTCCCAAACACTCCTGATGAAAACTAGTCTGTTTCCCAAAGTGTGTTATAGGAGAGACTCACACTAATGTGCAGCTCAATAATTACACTGAAGTGCTACACACCTACCAAATATCATATACATGTACTAATACCAGTCAAAGGTTTTGGATCGGTAAAATAAGTCTTTTCTGCTCACCAAGGCTGCGTTTATTTGATTAAAAATAGAAGAAAAAACAGTAATATTGTGTAATATCACTCCAGTGTAAATCAGCTGTTTTCTATGTGAATATACAGTAAAGTGTAATTTATTCCTGTGATCAAAGCTGTATTTTCAGCATCATTACTCCAGTCTTCAGTGTCACATGATCCTTCAGAAATCACTCTAATATGAGGATCTGATGCTCAAGAAACGTTTATGATTATTATCAGTGTTGAAAACAATAATTTCAGGATTCTTTGATGAATAGAAAGTTGAAAAGAACAGCATTTATCTGAAATAGAAGCTTTTGTAACATTAAACACTACCGTTGAAAATTTTGGGGTCAGAAAGAATTCGGGGGAAAGAAATAAAATAAATCAATACTTTTATTAATCAAGGACACACCATAGGAGGCATAAAATTGAAATACAGAAGTACTGTTGTAAAGTCTGTTGTTCATCCACCCAAAACCCAGTGGCTTCAGTGTTATATAAGGGCAGATGAACACCAGACGGGAACAGCGAATGGAAAATACTGAGGTTTAAAGGGCTCGAGAAATTGATTCGCTGGTTTTATCCAAAGGCTGGTGGAAAACAAGCGTTAGTTTCGTTCATGTTCCCCTGGGTTTTCTCCGCTTGACACTCAGATTAAGTCAGACAACTGGAACGAGGTTGAGAAAACCGATCCAATCTGGTTCCCCGATGAGAAGCATTCAGAGACGGGCCGATGACCGGCGCATTAATCACTCGGGAAAGTGGAGGAACAAAAGTGGGAACAGAAGGATGATGAGTAAAGCTAGCACTAGCGACGGCGTTCCTCAGTTATTAGCGGTTCGACACCTCAACAGTGCTTCTGGGAAGAGGAATGGTGTATTCCTGTAGGCCTGAACCCACTGACGAGATGCATTGTGGGTGAAGTGCATGAAATAAGATCTACAGATATTTTAAAAGCTTTTACCTTTCCTGAAAAAGGCAGTTGCTCTGGTGCTCTTCGGCCATTTTGGACCGAGAATTGTTACTTAAATATTAAATAAAAAACATCAAACTAAAATATAGTGCATTAATGTCATTGAAATAAAAATTCGGCCATGTTTGACGGACAGGCGTAGAGCAGCAGAGGGATAAACGCCATCATGGCAAACCGGTGTTTGTGCAGAGAGAACAACATGCTTCTTATATGACAACATAAATTTAAAAACTTTATTGTTTATTCATCATTAATAAATATGCAATACAAAATGTAATAATATTCATAATACCCATCAAAATACTGAAAGAAAATAGCCATAAAATATTATATACCAGCGAACAGACTTATAACATCATGTGCAGCAGAACAGAAGTGGGCGGAGCTTATGTTGATGAGCATTATAAACCCCGCCCCCATGGCAAGCCCCTCCCACAGGGCGGATCTCCAATCAGATGCATCGCAACAGTCCTGCTGATTGGCTGGGATTCGAGTCGTATGTGCATTATGAAAGATTGCAGGTGCATTTTGTTGAGAAGCGTATTTTTACGTTGTGCTCACATGCACACATTTACAGGTATGATGATGATGATGATGATGATGATGATGATGATGATGATGATGATGATGATGTGTAAAATCTTAGTATGAGTGTCTGATGTTTTGCACCAAGTCAAATGCGCAAACATTCCCGTGGGAAACTCAAACGTCAGCGGTCGAGAGTCGTTCTCCTGGTTTGCCTTGATAACGTGTATCTTCAGAACCACTTTCTCTCAAACTTCCTTCTTACATTCGGTGTGTCTGGACCTCTTCTTCGGTTTCGTGCGCTGGGTTAGTTGTGCGGTCCTCAGGCGTCCCGTTGTGCGAGCTCGAGACGACCTGATCTCAGAACAGGCGGACAGCGAGCGTTGAGGAAAGGGTCAGTGTCTCCAGCTTTTCTTTTTCTCCACCATCTTCGCCATTTCTTCTTTTTCCATAAAGTCCTCTGTAAAACAAAGAGGTGAAGTTTGCTGAGGATTTATGTTATGGAAACCCTCTGGTGCTCTGCGGTCATTTTTGACCGGAAAATTGTAAATGTTTTTTTTTTTTTTTTTTTCATCGGAATGGTACGAAACTTGGTAAAGGTTTTGGCACTTGCTGTGTGAACACAAATAACTCCTGGCCATGATCTGAACAGGTTTAATGGTGCTGATAACAACAGTCACACTTGTGTTTCTGCGGTCAGAAATGACGCAGTGGAAATGAATGTAGAGTTTCCTCTAGTGGAAGCGTGTGGAACTGCAGCCGAACACACTCTCACTGAACGCTCGTTTACTGAGAGATCAGACTCACATGAGGAACACACTGGGGGAGAGTTACGGCTGAGATTTAGTGCAGTTTTAGAGTGAAATGTGTTTTGGAAAATATATATTTCCTATAAAAATTGAAAAATAGTATTTGGCACATTTTTCATAACAATAAACGTAAAATTCTGTAACTTTTTTTACGTTCACTTTTTAAAACTTCTTTCCCGTCAGCAATAATCTGCAAGTGTCGTGTTTGAGAAGAGATCAAACTTCAGTCTGTCGCTCTAAAGCGTTCCAGATTCTCCACAGTTTCAGCTGGACATGTAATTTTCAGGTCTACGCTCAAAAAGTGAATAAATGGATTATAAATACAGCGAAAATATAATTTACTACCATAAAATCCCCTAAAAATACAAAATATTAAAAAAAATGATTATTGGACTAAAATAGAGTACATTAATTTATAATCTGAGCTGTTTGCCGTGAGGAGCAGCCGAGGGTTACGAGTCCAGGATTCGGTGCGTGTCTTGAGGTGTTTGTGGCGAGGACTCACCTATGCACTCGGGACAGCAGGTTCCCTCTCTGCGGACGTGGTTCCGGCAGCTCAACAGCGGACACTGCTTCCTCTGGCACTTCGTCACGCCGTGCTGGGAACACCACAGGAGATTAACTCACACTCTCTACATGCTCGGAATATCACAGGCCAATAGAAAAGGTAATTGAGACTTGTTTTATCTATTGATTCTGACTTTTCTCACAATCTTGCAATTTCTACTTTTTTGTTGGAATTCTATGTTTATATCTCTACTTTTTTCTTCTTCCCTGGTTGAAACAAGCTCCCACACTGAACAGAAATAAGGCGCAGGACTCACATCACACCAGCAGGTGATGCACTTCATCTCGCCCACCAGCGGCACGCTCGGGTGCCAGTGTTCGCTGTTCTGGTAGTAGTTTTTGCCGAACTTGCAGTGGCGCGTCCCGTCGGCCTGCATCATCTCGTCGTCCTCCAGAGGGGGCGTGTCTTCGGCAGGACACGCCTTGCAGCAGTCTGACGGGTTGGCTCTGATTGGTCGACTGCAGGTAAGGGGCGGGCACGTCACCTTCTCGCAGTGCACTTCTCCAGTGGAGCCCTGTGACGGACCAGGCAATGACGGTAAGCATTAACATACTGTATTTTTCAACTGCTCACACACATTTTCAAAACTTTGCCTCTTTTTTTCCAAAACTTTACACACAAATCCAAGAATTGCACACAAAATGTAAAATGCCTCACATCTCTTGCTAAATTAAGCACTGCGTTCAAAATATCACAAACATCTCAAAAGCAAACATTTGTCTTACGTTGCAAACACCTTTGCCATAATATCATATTTCTGGATATATCATATACACACCGTTATTCAAAACCTAAAGCTCTTCTTTCACGAACATTTCTGGACAAGGTTGAAAGTAATCGCCGGAGAGATGTTGAACAATTCACGGTAAACATGAAGACAAGATTGAAACCAAACTATACGTTTATTTACTGTAAGCATTTGTGGTTGTGAATACAGTATTACAGTCCGAAAAACCTATAACTCGACCGTTGACCTTTTATAGGCCTATTCTAAAGCCATGATTGGTGTGTGTTCAGTAAAGCGATGAGTGTTTGCACATGTGTGTGACGCTCTGATGAATTACTGTGGTGTTTGGATAAGTTGTGTTTGAAAAAGGAAATCAAGATTCTTCCTGTTAGATTTGTGTGTTACATAGAGATGTGTGTGTTGTGGTTTGCAAAAGGTGTTTAACGAAACTGAGTCGAAGGCTGAGGTTTAGTGCTCGGTTCTGCAGATCTGGTGTGTGTTTCTGGTGTTTGAGTGTCAGCTTTCAGAAATTGTGTGACGATTTTGTGAGTTAGCAGTTGAAACAAACTGTAATGTCTGAGTCCACATGTGGTATTTCTGTTCATAACTCTGATATGAAGTACTTCTGTGGTGTACTGTCTGTCGACTCACCTTGCAGGTGCACACGGCACACTTGATGTACCCGAACGGCGGGACGAACGGATGCCATGTTGTTCCGGGTGCGTGCATCTTCTGATCACCCTCGAAATAACAGCCTGAAAGGAGAAATAAGGGCAATTCCATGCAAAGGTCATCTTTACCATGAAAAAATAAAGTTTTAACCAAAATGTCACATCCATAACGCTGGAATTACCCGTAAGCATCTCACTATACACTTCCAACCAGTCGCGCATTTAAAATAATAGTCATAATATTGCATTTTATGTATTGGATTATTATAAACTCACCTTCTGGATCTTCCTCAATTTTCTCTACAGCAGTTGTCTCTTTGGTCTCCTTCTTTTCTGTTGACAGAAATCAAAAACAATGTTAAAAAACTTTATAGCACACATTAAACATTAAAAATTGAGTGTTCATCAGAGGGGTCTCCAATGAGTGGAATGCGAGGAATGCTTTAGTAGACAGAAAAACCTAAAAATGCTCAAAATTCAAAATAAAAACGCTAAACCTTTACCAAAAAATGATTGTATAATGTCTACATGTGTGTGTGTGAGCGCACACTGAAATAAACTGGCTTTAGGACCCAGCGTAACAGCTCCTCTGCTCCATATAGAGCTATAAGCCCATCTAGAGTCATGACATATCATGTGTTATTATTATTTCCACAAGAGGTCAAAGACTCCCAATGTAAGCTGAATTAAAAGAGTATTTTGAATTTAAGTTGAAAGAATGTGAGGAATGTGCTTAAATGATTATTTATTGATCAAATCTAGTAATTTAAAGGTACAAAAAAAAATGCATTCAAAATAGAAAAAATAGTATCAAAATGAAATAAATCCTTTCTGGACAAAAATAAATAAAAATGAAGTATATGTTTAGGGCTTGGGGTGATTTTGACCCGCGAGGGACGGGTGAGTGTGATAGCGTTGTCTGGTTACTCACCGTCACACACCGGACAGCACTGGTCTTCAGGCTGGAGAGTGTGAGGACACGAGAGCGCAGGGCAGATCACCGGATCACAGATCACCGTCTTCTTCTGAGAGATTAAAACACACACATCATGAGCTACGGTCTAGTGGACACAAACAAGATGCTAAGTATGCTTGCAGCCAGACTACTCCAGTATACTTCAGGTGTGTTAATGATCAGTTAACTTGAAGTGTGCTAAAGTAATTTTGTACTTTTTGTGAGCTAAATTGGAACAAATTCAAGTATACTTTAAGTGTATGCCAGTGTAGGGACTAATTACATGCTTGATTAGTGATATTAAAGTGTATAAGCAATATACCATAAGTGTATTATATTTCAGTAAAGAGTATTTGCTCAGTAATGCCTTTGGCTTATTCCAAATACTACACATTGCACACTTTGTCTTCAATAATAAATGCACATTAATAAACAAATATCACTTGGCTATACTTTGCACAATATTGTATATTATAATGTATTTTGAAAGTACACTTTCAATGTATTGTTACAATGATCATTTTCAGCACACGGCTAAAAATATACGTAAAATATATTTTTAAGTGCAAATAAATACACTTAATATTAATTTTTAATAATTAATAATTTTCACTTCAAATATAATTTTCGAAAAGATACTAAACGATTATTTATTTTTATTTAATTATTTAATCATTTTTGTGAAAACAGGTAAAGGCATGATGCTAATATACTTTTAATATATTTAAAGAGTACAAATTAGTATATTTGCAATGTACTATTGAAAAAGGGAATATATTTCAAATACAATAAAGTTTTTTTAATAAAGTCTAATAAAGCTATTTTTTTCACTGTGTTACGGCTAAGGTGGTGTGTGTGTGTAGTACGGCTAAGGCACTGAGGGGGTGTGTGTGTGTGTGTTACGGCTAAGACAATGAGGCGGTGTGTGTGTGTTACGGCTAAGGCACTGAGGCGGTGTGTGTGTGTTACGGCTAAGGCACTGAGGCGGTGTGTGTGTGTTACGGCTAAGGCACTGAGGCGGTGTGTGTGTGTTACGGCTGAGGCGGTGTGTGTTACGGCTAAGGCACTGAGGCGGTGTGTGTGTGTTACGGCTAAGGCACTGAGGCGGTGTGTGTGTGTTACGGCTAAGGCACTGATGCGGTGTGTGTTACGGCTGAGGCGGTGTGTTTGTTACGGCTAAGGCGGTGTGTGTTACGGCTCAGGCGGTGTGTGTTACGGCTGAGGCGGTGTGTGTTACGGCTCAGGCGGTGTGTGTTACGGCTCAGGCGGTGTGTGTTACGGCTCAGGCGGTGTGTGTTACGGCTCAGGCGGTGTGTGTTACGGCTGAGGCGGTGTGTTTGTTACGGCTAAGGCGGTGTGTGTTACGGCTCAGGCGGTGTGTGTTACGGCTGAGGCGGTGTGTGTTACGGCTCAGGCGGTGTGTGTTACGGCTCAGGCGGTGTGTGTTACGGCTCAGGCGGTGTGTGTTACGGCTCAGGCGGTGTGTGTTACGGCCGAGGCGGTGTGTGTTACGGCTGAGGCGGTGTGTGTTACGGCTGATGCGGTGTGTGTTACGGCTGAGGCGGTGTGTGTTACGGCTGAGGCGGTGTGTGTTACGGCTCAGGCGGTGTGTGTTACGGCTGAGGCGGTGTGTGTTACGGCTGAGGCGGTGTGTGTTACGGCTCAGGCGGTGTGTGTTACGGCTGAGGCGGTGTGTGTTACGGCTCAGGCGGTGTGTGTTACGGCTCAGGCGGTGTGTGTTACGGCTGAGGCGGTGTGTGTTACGGCTGATGCGGTGTGTGTTACGGCTGAGGCGGTGTGTGTTACGGCTGAGGCGGTGTGTGTTACGGCTGATGCGGTGTGTGTTACGGCTGATGCGGTGTGTGTTACGGCTGATGCGGTGTGTGTTACGGCTGAGGCGGTGTGTGTTACGGCCGAGGCGGTGAGTGTTACGGCTGATGCGGTGTGTGTTACGGCTGAGGCGGTGTGTGTTACGGCTGAGGCGGTGTGTGTTACGGCTGAGGCGGTGTGTGTTACGGCTGAGGCGGTGTGTGTTACGGCTGAGGCGGTGTGTGTTACGGCTGAGGCGGTGTGTGTTACGGCTGATGCGGTGTGTGTTACGGCTGATGCGGTGTGTGTTACGGCTGAGGCGGTGTGTGTTACGGCTGAGGCGGTGTGTGTTACGGCTGAGGCGGTGTGTGTTACGGCTGATGCGGTGTGTGTTACGGCTGAGGCGGTGTGTGTTACGGCTGAGGCGGTGTGTGTTACGGCTGATGCGGTGTGTGTTACGGCTGAGGCGGTGTGTGTTACGGCTGATGCGGTGTGTGTTACGGCTGATGCGGTGTGTGTTACGGCTGAGTCGGTGTGTGTTACGGCTGAGGCGGTGTGTGTTATGATCATTTTCAGCACACGGCTAAAAATATACGTAAAATATATTTTTAAGTGCAAATAAATACACTTAATATTAATTTTTAATAATTAATAATTAATAATTTTCACTTCAAATATAATTTTCGAAAAGATACTAAACGATTATTTATTTTTATTTAATTATTTAATCATTTTTGTGAAAACAGGTAAAGGCATGATGCTAATATACTTTTAATATATTTAAAGAGTACAAATTAGTATATTTGCAATGTACTATTGAAAAAGGGAATATATTTCAAATACAATAAAGTTTTTTTAATAAAGTCTAATAAAGCTATTTTTTTCACTGTGTTACGGCTAAGGTGGTGTGTGTGTGTAGTACGGCTAAGGCACTGAGGCGGTGTGTGTGTGTGTGTTACGGCTAAGACAATGAGGCGGTGTGTGTGTGTTACGGCTAAGGCACTGAGGCGGTGTGTGTGTGTTACGGCTAAGGCACTGAGGCGGTGTGTGTGTGTTACGGCTAAGGCACTGAGGCGGTGTGTGTGTGTTACGGCTGAGGCGGTGTGTGTTACGGCTAAGGCACTGAGGCGGTGTGTGTGTGTTACGGCTAAGGCACTGAGGCGGTGTGTGTGTGTTACGGCTAAGGCACTGATGCGGTGTGTGTTACGGCTGAGGCGGTGTGTTTGTTACGGCTAAGGCGGTGTGTGTTACGGCTCAGGCGGTGTGTGTTACGGCTGAGGCGGTGTGTGTTACGGCTCAGGCGGTGCGTGTTACGGCTCAGGCGGTGTGTGTTACGGCTCAGGCGGTGTGTGTTACGGCTCAGGCGGTGTGTGTTACGGCCGAGGCGGTGTGTGTTACGGCTGAGGCGGTGTGTGTTACGGCTGATGCGGTGTGTGTTACGGCTGAGGCGGTGTGTGTTACGGCTGAGGCGGTGTGTGTTACGGCTGAGGCGGTGTGTGTTACGGCTCAGGCGGTGTGTGTTACGGCTGAGGCGGTGTGTGTTACGGCTCAGGCGGTGTGTGTTACGGCTGAGGCGGTGTGTGTTACGGCTGAGGCGGTGTGTGTTACGGCTGAGTCGGTGTGTGTTACAGCTGAGGCGGTGTGTGTTACGGCTGAGTCGGTGTGTGTTACGGCTGAGGCGGTGTGTGTTACGGCCGAGGCGGTGTGTGTTACGGCCGAGGCGGTGTGTGTTACGGCTGATGCGGTGTGTGTTACGGCTGATGCGGTGTGTGTTACGGCTCAGGCGGTGTGTGTTACGGCTGAGGCGGTGTGTGTTACGGCTCAGGCGGTGTGTGTTACGGCTGAGGCGGTGTGTGTTACGGCTCAGGCGGTGTGTGTTACGGCTAAGGCGGTGTGTGTTACGGCTGAGGCGGTGTGTGTTACAGCTGAGGCGGTGTGTGTTACGGCTCAGGCGGTGTGTGTTACGGCTGAGGCGGTGTGTGTTACGGCTGAGGCGGTGTGTGTTACGGCTGAGGCGGTGTGTGTTACGGCTCAGGCGGTGTGTGTTACGGCTGAGGCGGTGTGTGTTACGGCTGAGGCGGTGTGTGTTACGGCTCAGGCGGTGTGTGTTACGGCTCAGGCGGTGTGTGTTACGGCTGAGGCGGTGTGTGTTACGGCTGATGCGGTGTGTGTTACGGCTGAGGCGGTGTGTGTTACGGCTGAGGCGGTGTGTGTTACGGCTGATGCGGTGTGTGTTACGGCTGATGCGGTGTGTGTTACGGCTGATGCGGTGTGTGTTACGGCTCAGGCGGTGTGTGTTACGGCTGAGGCGGTGTGTGTTACGGCTCAGGCGGTGTGTGTTACGGCTGAGGCGGTGTGTGTTACGGCTCAGGCGGTGTGTGTTACGGCTCAGGCGGTGTGTGTTACGGCTGAGGCGGTGTGTGTTACGGCTGATGCGGTGTGTGTTACGGCTGAGGCGGTGTGTGTTACGGCTGAGGCGGTGTGTGTTACGGCTGATGCGGTGTGTGTTACGGCTGATGCGGTGTGTGTTACGGCTGATGCGGTGTGTGTTACGGCCGAGGCGGTGTGTGTTACGGCTGATGCGGTGTGTGTTACGGCTGAGGCGGTGTGTGTTACGGCTGATGCGGTGTGTGTTACGGCCGAGGCGGTGTGTGTTACGGCCGAGGCGGTGTGTGTTACGGCCGAGGCGGTGTGTGTTACGGCCGAGGCGGTGTGTGTTACGGCCGAGGCGGTGTGTGTTACGGCCGAGGCGGTGTGTGTTACGGCTGATGCGGTGTGTGTTACGGCTGAGGCGGTGTGTGTTACGGCTGATGCGGTGTGTGTTACGGCTGATGCGGTGTGTGTTACGGCCGAGGCGGTGTGTGTTACGGCTGATGCGGTGTGTGTTACGGCTGAGGCGGTGTGTGTTACGGCTGAGGCGGTGTGTGTTACGGCTGAGGCGGTGTGTGTTACGGCTGATGCGGTGTGTGTTACGGCTGATGCGGTGTGTGTTACGGCTGAGTCGGTGTGTGTTACGGCTGAGGCGGTGTGTGTTACGGCTGAGGCGGTGTGTGTTACGGCTGAGGCGGTGTGTGTTACGGCTCAGGCGGTGTGTGTTACGGCTGAGGCGGTGTGTGTTACGGCTGAGGCGGTGTGTGTTACGGCTCAGGCGGTGTGTGTTACGGCTGAGGCGGTGTGTGTTACGGCTCAGGCGGTGTGTGTTACGGCTCAGGCGGTGTGTGTTACGGCTGAGGCGGTGTGTGTTACGGCTGATGCGGTGTGTGTTACGGCTGAGGCGGTGTGTGTTACGGCTGAGGCGGTGTGTGTTACGGCTGATGCGGTGTGTGTTACGGCTGATGCGGTGTGTGTTACGGCTGATGCGGTGTGTGTTACGGCTGAGGCGGTGTGTGTTACGGCCGAGGCGGTGAGTGTTACGGCTGATGCGGTGTGTGTTACGGCTGAGGCGGTGTGTGTTACGGCTGAGGCGGTGTGTGTTACGGCTGAGGCGGTGTGTGTTACGGCTGAGGCGGTGTGTGTTACGGCTGAGGCGGTGTGTGTTACGGCTGAGGCGGTGTGTGTTACGGCTGATGCGGTGTGTGTTACGGCTGATGCGGTGTGTGTTACGGCTGAGGCGGTGTGTGTTACGGCTGAGGCGGTGTGTGTTACGGCTGAGGCGGTGTGTGTTACGGCTGATGCGGTGTGTGTTACGGCTGAGGCGGTGTGTGTTACGGCTGAGGCGGTGTGTGTTACGGCTGATGCGGTGTGTGTTACGGCTGAGGCGGTGTGTGTTACGGCTGATGCGGTGTGTGTTACGGCTGATGCGGTGTGTGTTACGGCTGAGTCGGTGTGTGTTACGGCTGAGGCGGTGTGTGTTATGATCATTTTCAGCACACGGCTAAAAATATACGTAAAATATATTTTTAAGTGCAAATAAATACACTTAATATTAATTTTTAATAATTAATAATTAATAATTTTCACTTCAAATATAATTTTCGAAAAGATACTAAACGATTATTTATTTTTATTTAATTATTTAATCATTTTTGTGAAAACAGGTAAAGGCATGATGCTAATATACTTTTAATATATTTAAAGAGTACAAATTAGTATATTTGCAATGTACTATTGAAAAAGGGAATATATTTCAAATACAATAAAGTTTTTTTAATAAAGTCTAATAAAGCTATTTTTTTCACTGTGTTACGGCTAAGGTGGTGTGTGTGTGTAGTACGGCTAAGGCACTGAGGCGGTGTGTGTGTGTGTGTTACGGCTAAGACAATGAGGCGGTGTGTGTGTGTTACGGCTAAGGCACTGAGGCGGTGTGTGTGTGTTACGGCTAAGGCACTGAGGCGGTGTGTGTGTGTTACGGCTAAGGCACTGAGGCGGTGTGTGTGTGTTACGGCTGAGGCGGTGTGTGTTACGGCTAAGGCACTGAGGCGGTGTGTGTGTGTTACGGCTAAGGCACTGAGGCGGTGTGTGTGTGTTACGGCTAAGGCACTGATGCGGTGTGTGTTACGGCTGAGGCGGTGTGTTTGTTACGGCTAAGGCGGTGTGTGTTACGGCTCAGGCGGTGTGTGTTACGGCTGAGGCGGTGTGTGTTACGGCTCAGGCGGTGCGTGTTACGGCTCAGGCGGTGTGTGTTACGGCTCAGGCGGTGTGTGTTACGGCTCAGGCGGTGTGTGTTACGGCCGAGGCGGTGTGTGTTACGGCTGAGGCGGTGTGTGTTACGGCTGATGCGGTGTGTGTTACGGCTGAGGCGGTGTGTGTTACGGCTGAGGCGGTGTGTGTTACGGCTGAGGCGGTGTGTGTTACGGCTCAGGCGGTGTGTGTTACGGCTGAGGCGGTGTGTGTTACGGCTCAGGCGGTGTGTGTTACGGCTGAGGCGGTGTGTGTTACGGCTGAGGCGGTGTGTGTTACGGCTGAGTCGGTGTGTGTTACAGCTGAGGCGGTGTGTGTTACGGCTGAGTCGGTGTGTGTTACGGCTGAGGCGGTGTGTGTTACGGCCGAGGCGGTGTGTGTTACGGCCGAGGCGGTGTGTGTTACGGCTGATGCGGTGTGTGTTACGGCTGATGCGGTGTGTGTTACGGCTCAGGCGGTGTGTGTTACGGCTGAGGCGGTGTGTGTTACGGCTCAGGCGGTGTGTGTTACGGCTGAGGCGGTGTGTGTTACGGCTCAGGCGGTGTGTGTTACGGCTAAGGCGGTGTGTGTTACGGCTGAGGCGGTGTGTGTTACAGCTGAGGCGGTGTGTGTTACGGCTCAGGCGGTGTGTGTTACGGCTGAGGCGGTGTGTGTTACGGCTGAGGCGGTGTGTGTTACGGCTGAGGCGGTGTGTGTTACGGCTCAGGCGGTGTGTGTTACGGCTGAGGCGGTGTGTGTTACGGCTGAGGCGGTGTGTGTTACGGCTCAGGCGGTGTGTGTTACGGCTCAGGCGGTGTGTGTTACGGCTGAGGCGGTGTGTGTTACGGCTGATGCGGTGTGTGTTACGGCTGAGGCGGTGTGTGTTACGGCTGAGGCGGTGTGTGTTACGGCTGATGCGGTGTGTGTTACGGCTGATGCGGTGTGTGTTACGGCTGATGCGGTGTGTGTTACGGCTCAGGCGGTGTGTGTTACGGCTGAGGCGGTGTGTGTTACGGCTCAGGCGGTGTGTGTTACGGCTGAGGCGGTGTGTGTTACGGCTCAGGCGGTGTGTGTTACGGCTCAGGCGGTGTGTGTTACGGCTGAGGCGGTGTGTGTTACGGCTGATGCGGTGTGTGTTACGGCTGAGGCGGTGTGTGTTACGGCTGAGGCGGTGTGTGTTACGGCTGATGCGGTGTGTGTTACGGCTGATGCGGTGTGTGTTACGGCTGATGCGGTGTGTGTTACGGCCGAGGCGGTGTGTGTTACGGCTGATGCGGTGTGTGTTACGGCTGAGGCGGTGTGTGTTACGGCTGATGCGGTGTGTGTTACGGCCGAGGCGGTGTGTGTTACGGCCGAGGCGGTGTGTGTTACGGCCGAGGCGGTGTGTGTTACGGCCGAGGCGGTGTGTGTTACGGCCGAGGCGGTGTGTGTTACGGCCGAGGCGGTGTGTGTTACGGCTGATGCGGTGTGTGTTACGGCTGAGGCGGTGTGTGTTACGGCTGATGCGGTGTGTGTTACGGCTGATGCGGTGTGTGTTACGGCCGAGGCGGTGTGTGTTACGGCTGATGCGGTGTGTGTTACGGCTGAGGCGGTGTGTGTTACGGCTGAGGCGGTGTGTGTTACGGCTGAGGCGGTGTGTGTTACGGCTGATGCGGTGTGTGTTACGGCTGATGCGGTGTGTGTTACGGCTGAGTCGGTGTGTGTTACGGCTGAGGCGGTGTGTGTTACGGCTGAGGCGGTGTGTGTTACGGCTGATGCGGTGTGTGTTACGGCTGAGGCGGTGTGTGTTACGGCTGAGGCGGTGTGTGTTACGGCTGAGGCGGTGTGTGTTACGGCTGAGGCGGTGTGTGTTACGGCTGAGGCGGTGTGTGTTACGGCTGAGTCGGTGTGTGTTACGGCTGAGGCGGTGTGTGTTACGGCTGATGCGGTGTGTGTTACGGCTGAGGCGGTGTGTGTTACGGCTGAGGCGGTGTGTGTTACGGCTGAGGCGGTGTGTGTTACGGCTGAGGCGGTGTGTGTTACGGCTCAGGCGGTGTGTGTTACGGCTGAGGCGGTGTGTGTTACGGCTGAGTCGGTGTGTGTTACGGCTGATGCGGTGTGTGTTACGGCTGAGGCGGTGTGTGTTACGGCTGAGGCGGTGTGTGTTACGGCTGATGCGGTGTGTGTTACGGCTGAGGCGGTGTGTGTTACGGCTCAGGCGGTGTGTGTTACGGCTGAGGCGGTGTGTGTTACGGCTGAGGCGGTGTGTGTTACGGCTGAGGCGGTGTGTGTTACGGCTGAGGCGGTGTGTGTTACGGCTGAGTCGGTGTGTGTTACGGCTGAGGCGGTGTGTGTTACGGCTGAGGCGGTGTGTGTTACGGCTAAGGCGGTGTGTGTTACGGCTGAGGCGGTGTGTGTTACGGCTGAGGCGGTGTGTGTTACGGCTGAGGCGGTGTGTGTTACGGCTGAGGCGGTGTGTGTTACGGCTGAGGCGGTGTGTGTTACGGCTGAGGCGGTGTGTGTTACGGCTGATGCGGTGTGTGTTACGGCTGATGCGGTGTGTGTTACGGCTGATGCGGTGTGTGTTACGGCTGAGGCGGTGTGTGTTACGGCTGAGGCGGTGTGTGTTACGGCTGAGTCGGTGTGTGTTACGGCTAAGGCGGTGTGTGTTACGGCTGAGGCGGTGTGTGTTACGGCTGAGGCGGTGTGTGTTACGGCTGAGGCGGTGTGTGTTACGGCTGAGGCGGTGTGTGTTACGGCTGAGGCGGTGTGTGTTGAGGCGGTGTGTGTTACGGCTGAGGCGGTGTGTGTTACGGCTGAGGCGGCTGAGGCGGTGTGTGTTACGGCTGAGGCGGTGTGTGTTACGGCTGAGGCGGTGTGTGTTACGGCTGAGGCGGTGTGTGTGTGTGTTGAGGCGGTGTGTGTTACGGCTGAGGCGGTGTGTGTTACGGCTGATGCGGTGTGTGTTACGGCTGAGCCGGTGTGTGTGTGTGTTGAGGCGGTGTGTGTACCTGGCATGAGCAGGTGAAGCAGGTGTTGTACTGCGGGGTCCACTGAGACCCGTGTGCGTGATGTTCCCCCTCGAAGAAGCATGTGTGCGGGTCCTTCTTCAGCTCCGCCGGGTCGCGCACGAACACCAGCTCGTGGAACTCGTCCTCCTCCACCACCTCCCCCCGAGAGCCCGACTCACAGCTGTTGGGGACCTGGATCTGCACAACACAGAGTACAGTCAAACACGGGTGGTGTAGTTTACTGAAGCTAACACCATAAAACACCGTTCTGTTACTGCAGATAAAGTAAAATACACAAAAACTTAAACATAAATATATATTTATTGAATAAATATAATAAAAAAAATAATGAAATAAGTCAATATTTGTGTGTGTGTGTGTGTGTGTGTGAGAGATAGAGTGAGAGAGAGAGAGTGTGTGTGTGTGTGAGAGTGTGTATGAGAAAGTGAGTGTGAGCGTGTGTGTGTGTGTGTGTGTACTACTTACCCGTCCTCGTATTTCTCCTCTTGGATTCATTTTGGTGCTGACCTGAATATAAGCCATGCCTTCGTCCAAATGCCTCAATAACTCAACGCTGATATCCTTCAACACACCCTGAGCCTAGAAGACACAGAGACACTTCAAGCTTTGTGCAAACGATACGACAATCTTTACCTTAAAACAGAATTAAACTGGTTCCAGCTCATTTGAGGAAACACCAGCTTTGTTTTATAAACAATCCCTTTAAAGTATCCAATAAACGACAGCATGATTGTGCTTCTGGCCAAAGAAAAACGTTGTGTTGTTCTGTAATCACGCAGTTTACATTATAACGGGTCGGGAATCGAAAATCAATTCCAGTTCTGGAATTTAATTCTTGAGGTCAGGAATCGGATACTTGTTATAAACTTAAGATTTGGATTCCTCTTATCGATTCCTCTGTGGGCATTTCAATATTACTTTAAATCATTGAAGCGATCAATGATTTATGTTCATGATATTCAGCTGCAATTAAATGTTTTGCAATAAGACTAAATATGAATGATATCCAAGTTTTTATTTTTACCTTATTGGAATCGAAATTAGGAATCGATAAGCAAAATCGGAACCGGAATCGTTAAAATTCAAACGAAACCTAACACCTTAATTATAACCATGCTGAATTGTGTCATGCTTGATTGGTTTACCTGTTGGCCGTAGAAGCCCGTCAGAAGTCTCTTGTGATTGGTGGAGGAGTCGTCCATCTCGCCGATCTCGGCCAATCCGTGCAGGTGAGCGTTGATGGAGGCGTCTTCGCTCCTGCTGAGGCCGTTGACCACGATCTCGTAGTGTAGATGACACTGTTGGTCCACGGAGACCCAGGCGTGGCCCGCGGCGCCCGTACGCACCGGAGGAGACACAAACTGACCCGCCAGAGGAACCGGCAGCTCTGCACATCGAGAGAGCATTCATTAATAATCAAATCTCTATCACACTCTAAAACATCTTGGGTTATTCTTTCTACCCAAATCCTGGGTTGAGCCTTTTGGGTCATTTTTGGGGTTATTTTTTCAGTATCTGGGTAGTTTTTGTGTAACCCAGATCCTGGGTCAGACGTAACAACCCAGTGTTTGGGTAGTCTTCTTGTGTTACCCAGATCCTGGGTCAGACCTTTCTTTTGAAAGTCACGTGTCTAGTATCTGTAAAACTGCATTCTTCCATCTTAAAAATATATCTAAAATACGCCATATGCTCTCATTGGGAAATGCGGAACAATTAGTTCATGCGTTCATCACATCAAGGCTAGATTACTGTAATGCTCTACTGGGTGGTTGCCCTGCACGCTTAATAAACAAACTACAGCTGGTTCAAAACGCAGCCGCTCGAGTTCTTACCAGAACCAGGAAGTATGACCATATTAGCCCGGTTCTGTCAACACTGCATTGGCTCCCTATTAAACATTGTATAAATTTTAAAATATTGTTGATTACCTACAAAGCACTAAATGGTTTAGCTCCGCAGTACTTGAGCGAGCTCTTAACGCATTATAGTCCTTCACGTCTATTGCGATCTCAAAACTCCGGCCAGTTGATAATACCTAGAATATCTAAATCGACTGCTGGCGGTAGATCCTTTTCCTATTTAGCACCAAAACTTTGGAACAGTCTTCCTACCATTGTCCGGGAAGCAGACACACTCTGTCAGTTCAAAGCTAGACTAAAAACACATCTCTTTGACCTAGCATACACATAATACATTATAGACTTCTATAATTCAATGTTAGGCTGCATAGATTAGGTCAGCCGGAACTGGGAACACTTCCCTTAAATCCTGATGTACTCGTTATCATAAGAAGAATGGCATCTACGCTAATATTAGTGTCTTTGTTTATCCCGAGGTTTTCCCGCAGCCTGCCGGATCCAGGCCGTATCCAGATCTGACGAAGGAGATTCGCCTGGACCCGATGACAATGCAGTGCTGAAGTGTCAACTATCCTCTCCCTATGGAGGATCCCTTTCCCACTGTACAGATAAAGCGTTGTGGAAATTCGGTTTGCGTACCCCGAAGTGATAAAATAAAATAAAACAAAATTCTGTATCAAAATTTATAGGCAAGACAAGTAGTTTGTTTAGGCATGGGTTGTATGGAATTACAAACCTGCGCACATATTTTCAAAAGCTCATATCTATAGAATCAATTCTTAATGCGCATGTGAACGCCATCAGGTCACAGGTTCGCGTTTAAAGTCTGTTTAGAGAGAACGGCGTCGTCTTAGTGGCCCCTAATGTAATAACAAATGATCATTTCGACGGAGGTGAATCAATCAAAACCAACTTTAGCTGGAAATAACATTATTCAGGAACCACTATAAAGCCAAAACAATCTCTGTTGCCGTAAATTATATGTTTATCTCTGTAAAGCTGCTTTGAAACAATCTCCATTGTTAAAAGCGCTATATAAATGAAGATGACTTGACATAACAACCCAGTGTTTGGGAAGTGTTCTTGTGTTACCCAGATCTTGGGTCAGACGTAACAACCCAGTGTTTGGGTAGTGTTCTTGTGTTACCCAGATCTTGGGTCAGACGTAACAACCCAGTGTTTGGGTAGTGTTCTTGTGTTACCCAGATCCTGGGTCAGATGTAACAACCCAGTGTTTGGGTAGTGTTCTTGTGTTACCCAGATCCTGGGTCAGATGTAACAACCCAGTGTTTGGGTAGTGTTCTTGTGTTACCCAGATCTTGGGTCAGACGTAACAACCCAGTGTTTGGGAAGTGTTCTTGTGTTACCCAGATCTTGGGTCAGACGTAACAACCCAGTGTTTGGGTAGTGTTCTTGTGTTACTCAGATCCTGGGTCAGACGTAACAACCCAGTGTTTGGGTCGTGTTCTTGTGTTACCCAGATCCTGGGTCAGACGTAACAACCCAGTGTTTGGGAAGTGTTCTTGTGTTACCCAGAT